TGATGACCTCAACCTATGTCAAGCGAACCGACACCTTAACTTATTGGATATTCATTCTAGGAAAGGAACTATGAGAAATGCATGCTGGGTACAAAAGACTGGTAGGGACATTCTGTTGTGATATTTCTCAGTTCCAACTAGACATTTCTCAGTTCGAGTTTGATATTTCTTATTTCTAACTTGACATTTCCTACTTCTAAGATGAAATTTTCTACTTCTAATTAGTCTAGATATAAGAAGATGTGGTATGAGTGCCAATGAGACAACTCTCCATCCAAGTCACAATTTGTAAAAGTAAACCATTACAATAGGTCAAAGTACGGCCTTCAAGTCAATTTTTATAGTTCTTGATGTGATATTTCTCACTTCCGATTTCCTATTTGAAAGGTTCATTAAAACTGATTCCTAAAACGGATCTTCTATGGCTGATTTGAAATAGTAAAAATCGTCTATTAATGGTTCGAAATACAATCTCTACTTTTTGAGGCTACTTATATTTATTTACATGAAAATAAAACTTTATAAATTGTATGCATCTGAAGCGCTTTCATTAATTTACCCTTATCAGTAACGCTCAGACCTAAACATTTGAAAGCCAGGAATGTATACATTATAAATACATAGAAACGTTATTAGCTATACGATTAATAGGAACCTAAAAGGGAAATCCAATTTCATCTATGGTCAATATGGAATACATATCTCCCAGTTGATACGATATTCCAGAGCTTGCTATCATGATTTCCTTGATAAAGGATTACTGCTGACAGTCTTAAGGAAGCCATTTAACCAAGTGTTCCGTGTTGTGAAGTTGAAATCATCCCTTCAAAAATTTTACGGACGCCATCACGAGTTGGTTGACCGTTATGGAATATCTCTTCGGCAAATAGGTTCCAATTGTCGTAAGAACAATCCCGTCCTCTTTTCCTCGAATGTGACCTACAGAATAAGACTTATCACCGGTTTTGTACTTACATAAGTAACAAGATGGGTGCCACATGTGGAACAGGATCTGCTTACCCTTCTGGAGCACCTGCGATCACTCCCGGTAATTAAACGTCTCATCCCCCTTATTATGGGACGATTGTGATATATCCCATGTCCTTAAACATTACAAAAGGAATCAACACATCTGTATCACGTGCTCTAACCTCATCGGACGTACCTGGTAAGTAAAACATATTCCACGAATCCTGAGAAATTGTAAACGCGTTTTTTTTATAAGACCGTGACATTCTAAGAATCCATCAAATCAAACATGGCACTGGTGTAGGCCTCGCATACCTTAACTAAAATTAAGAACGACTGTTCTATTCTGAATATAAGACGTGTGTACCTCAATCCTCATGGAACTAGTGTAATGAGAAATAGTTGAACCTATATCACATATGTTATGTCCTAACGGATGTTGTGTAGCATACATATGCCCAGGTCCCTCTGCTGGTTCAGTTGAAATGTGTGACACGTGTTCAGTCCTTATATTAAACCCCTTCATTCAAACATGGGCCGCAAAGGATGCTTTTTATTCACCACATGTCTCTGAATTCATTGCACTCAATCTCCACACTTTAACTAAATCATTGTATAAACCAGATTACTCGTGTCCATCTACCTTATAATCCTAATATAGAAGCTGTGCTTTATGTTATGATAAAATAAAAAGAAATGTTGTGTAATCATAAATGAAAAATGATACCAAAAAATATGTGACGTAAAAGATACATGGCGTCATCAGTAAACACAATTTATAACAATTACATCGCCAAGTGATACCAGCACACCTTTAAACCTACCAAATGATATACTTACATTTTTCACAATACTGTACGATATCTATTTTCAATATCAACAATTTGAAATTCTGTCAGGCTAACATTATATTTTTAGCATACATTTCAAACTTGGAACTAACATAAAATGTCAATTTTGAACTTTATCAAGTTGGAAATGAGAAATGTTCTTAACACCATGCCAATACCTCTCTTTCATTGAGAGAGACAGAAGCGACGCAAAAACATGAGGTAAATATGTTGGCTTCAAAATGCATTAACTTCCTAAGATTAAAGTGTATTGAGATATATGACTCAAGATATCTCATCACAAGGGTTATCATAAATTTGCTTGCAGTTTAAAAACTTGGTTTTATATAAGATTAGCTAAAAGTATGTGTGTCTAATGAACAAATATTTTGTACGTTCAATACTTAGCTTATTATAGCGTATTTGTCCCTTAATTGATTTAACTGAACTGGTATACACCAGGCATCACCTGTGTCAAGATTTGTTTATATATCTATTCAAACCAGACTATAAAATCGGCTTTTTGTATGTTAACAAGTCAAAGAAAGTTCATTTCATTGTTGCGTATTGTTATCATTTACAATAAACTAAATAAACTCATCATAGATACCAGGATTGAAATTTGTACGCCAGACGCGCGTTTCGTCTACAAAAGACTCATCAGTGACGCTCGAATCAAAAAAGTTAAAATGGCAAAAGAAAGTACGAATTGGAAGAGAATTGAGGACACAAAACTCCTAAAAGTTATGCCAAATACAGCTAAAGTAATCTTTTCCTGGGGTAGAAAATCCTTAGTATTTTAAAAAGTTTTAAGTTTTGTAAACAGTTAATTTATAATTATGACCATATCAATGATAATTCATGACAACACAGAAGTGCTGACTACTGGGCTGGTGATACCTTCGAGGAGAAAAACTCCACCAGCAGTGGCATCGACCCACTGGTTGTAAATAAACTCATCATAGATACCAGGATTGAAATTTGTACGCCAGACGCGTGTTTCGTCAACAAGACTCATCAGTGACGCTCGAATTGAAAAATTTAAAAAGGCCAAAGAAAGTACAAAGTTTAAGAGCATTGAGGACCCAAAATTCCTAAAAGTTATGCCAAATATAGCTAATGTAATCTATTCCTCGGGTAGAAAATCCTTAGAATTTCGAAAACTTTTAAGTTTTGTAAACAGCTAATTTATAATTATGACCATATCAATATATTATTTCTTTTAAAATCCGACATGAAAATTAGGGGTTCCTTCCAAGGCAGAAACACTCATTACATGTATTATAGAATTAGATTTGAGAAGAGGCATATATTTCTTTCCTCCAGTGTTACCTTAAAGGTAAGGGAAGCCGAAATAGGTCAAAAATAAACCTGGCAGTAGATATACATAATGAAATTTATATAACTTTTCGAAATACAAATATTGAATTGCTTGGAACAACATTGAATATAAATTGACAGAATTACCTCTGCATAGTTATTTAAGTGGATGAACTTTCTCGCACATAACATGAATAAATGGTATGCTTTATTTTCAAACCATCTACCAAAAATGCATTTAAATCCATTGTAACTGCATTTAGATAATAATTTTATTCTATTTATCATCAAAGCCTATATTAGACGAGAGGACATTTGCTCATTTTACTATTATGATTATGATGAGTATGAGTTAAGGGTGATAATTAATCGCCTGACCCTAACGATTCAGCTCTGGAAAAGAGAGGCGAAAGATAACAAAGGGATATTCAAACTCATAAGTCGAAAATAATCTGACAACGCCATGTCTAAAAAGACAAACAGACATACACCAGTACACAAAACACAACTTAGAAAACCAACAACCGGGGGTTATCTCAGGTGCTACAGAAGCGTAGGCAGATCCTACTCCACGTGTGGCACCCGTCGTGTTGCTCATGTTAGTAAAACCCCGGTGATAAGTCTAATTCGGTAGGTCACATTCGGGGGGAAAGGGATGAGATTGTATAGTTACGACAATTGGAACATATCCGTTTTCATCTGTGAAACCGATATTCCATAACGGGCAACCAACGGTCCGTAGAATTTACGGAGGGATGATTTCAACTTCACCACTTGGAACTCTTGGTTTAATAGCTTCCTTGTGAGCAGCAACCCATTCAGGAAAATAATGATAGGAAATGTCCATTTTTTGTACTTTCTCCACGGGAACATTTTTCTATGTTTTGAAAAAAAATAATTGCACCATTTATTTTGTCATCTTTTGCGTTTCTTGTGTATGTAAGTTAAGAAATTACGATTCAAAGTATTACGAAAGACGCGTTTGACTGTCTTATAAATATATGTTACAAGACTAAGAGCAACGAAAATTAACACGAATATGCTACGTTTTCATAAATTGTTTTCCCAAAGGTTGAAATAGTCCTTCTCATCCTCTTAATTGTGAAATTACTAAAAGCATTTATTATTTTTTATTTTTACTTTCTTGTGCAACACGACGGGTGCCATATGTAGATCAGGAATACTTGAGTTTACCTTCTTCCGGATTCAGGTGGGATGTATGTTGCTCATCTATAGTTTTTGATGTGATGTTTTGTTACTGTTTTTTTTCCTTTCTTTCTCAACAGACTTGAGTGCTGAAAAACTTCTTATATCCGATCGCATTTGTATGTCCCAAGTTGAAATATGGTCTCTGGCTGTCTTAGGAAACAATATTATATTAAAGTCCTTGATGGAATAGTTGATGATTCGATAATCCCAATTAAAAATATTCACTACCACCATTCAAATATTAAAAATAATTCGAGTGTTCGGCTACCCTTGCTCTAAATTAATGTGATACGGACAACACTAATACATCATAAAATTTATTAATATGGTGCAAGTTTAAACAAACTGTGAATATATATACGAATAGAACAGTGCATGAAACATATTTACATTATAACATTACATTTCAAATCAGTCATTCAAGAGATACCTTACACGAATAAAAGGAGATTTGGAGGACAGCCATTCTTAAACAATATAAGTGTGTCCAGGTTATTGTTGTAGTAGTCTACAGACAAATTGTCTGTAAAAAAATAACTGATACCACAGAAGACACTCTTCGATCAAATTTCCTAAATACAATATGTCAATTAGATAATGAAATAAATAGTGCTACAGATTTGAAGGCGTAGAAACTTTTATAAGATTAGTGAAACTTGAAAAAGGAAACACTTATATAAATGCATTTATTGTTTACAAATAGTTATCTACATCAACATGAACAAGTGAAATACCAATCTTATAGACGTCAATATAACTTGTCCTTTTATAATAACATAAATGGTACCAATTTTATCACAGCAATAGTAATCACTTGCAACAGAATGGTTCATACAAAAAAGATTTAAGCCAAATTAAATCTGACCATATTAGTTTAGGTGATGATCAATTAGTTCATTACACACACTGCCAATAATTCTGGACATTTCATAACAATTTCAAATCATAATCCTCTCACCAACAAAGCGCATCAAACCCAAAAGTAGACAGACCATTAAGCTACTCTTTACATCTAAAACAAAAACGAAACCATTAAAATGCATTTTTTTACCAAAGAGGACAAAAAACAATAAAAACATTGTTCCTCATTCAATACACCTTATCGCTATTTAGTCCAATCCGGAAAAAACAGTCACTTAGACAATTTCTTGTTTGGGTGTTTACGATGGTTTAAACATGTCTCTTTGAAAAGTTTTAAGCATAATACATTGTTTCAACAGGGTGCCAGATAGCTTCAACTGGATGAAAAAGTTGTGTAATTTCAGAACTTATCCGGATTGGAATAATTAGCGATAAGGTGTATTTTTGTCATCTTATTGATAATTTCGTCTAGTCACATCAATGCAAAACAATTGTAATTTGTGAGGTCACTGCGACTTCAATGCGACGCTAAAAACATGTCACAAGTAACATGTTTGACTTGAAATGGACATTCAACACAAAGTTGCTAAAGCTTTAGTTAAATATATTGCTTATGACAATTTTGAAAAAGAATTACCTAATGTATCTATATCATTTTCAAAATGTGTTTGTAGTAAATATGAGATATGATAAGGTCATTATTTGGCGTCAGAAGTTGTTTTACTAAAATTCTTCAATCATGTACTTCTACTTCTACTTCTACCGGATAATGGCCACAATCAACGAACTGCATATTTTGCCATGACTTCGGCGCGCATACGGACCCCTCCTCCCATAATGTTTGAATTTAGTTCAGCTTTGTCACCGAGGCTTTGAAAACCTGGACTGACGTTGCTGGTACAACCCCAGGAGGGAGAGTGTTCCAATCTCTGATGGTTCGTGGAAAGAAAGAATATTTCCGGTAATCACTTGATGCTGCTGGAATTTGGAAGCTTCTATCAGGCATGTTTCTTGACAGTCGTTTAGGTGGCATCAGACGACCTTCCTTTGTCACTGCAACTTTCTCGTTTACAATTTTGAAAAGCATGGTGAGTCTTGCATCTTTTCGCCTTTGTTCCAGAGATCTTCATTCTAGGTGATTTAGCATCTTGCTCACACTTGATTATGGTGTTTATTCATCACATATCGTGCTGCTCGTCTCTGGACCATCTCTAGTCGGTCAATCTCTGTTTTTTTTTGTAAGGATCCCATACCGGACTGGCGTATTCTGTTATAGGTCTTACAAGTTGTGACCGATGTGACAGCAAAGCTAGCAATCCACCTTCAGACCTTTCCTAAGATTCCATAGTGTTCGAGTTTATGAACGAGGAGACTGTGACTGACCTTGTCGAATGCTTTAGAGAAATCCATAATAAGTACGTCTGTCTGTTTACCTGCACTCATGTTGTTAGTGATGTCGTCCACAAATTCAATAAGTTGGGTTTCGCAAGATCATTTAGAGCGAAAGCCATGTTGTAATGGGTAGAGAATTTGGTGGTGATCTGCATGGTTTATAAATAAAGGCAACAGTAGTATACCGCTGTTCGAAATTCATAAATCGATTGAGAAAAAACAAATCCGGGTTACAAACTAAAACTGAGGGAAACACATCATGATATGGCTTGTGATTATGTGCTCTATGAGTTTGCAGCATATACAAGTCAGAGATATTGGTCGATAGTTCTCTGCTCTATATCTCTTTCCTTTTTTTAAGACTTGGCTAACATTGGAATTCCTCCAGTCAGATGGTACGTCCACTATTTCAATTGATGTTTGAAAGATGTGTGTAAGTAAAGGTGCTATTTCCGTTGCCAGTTCTTTTAGTAATCTTGGTCTTATGTTGTCGGGTCCTGCTGCTTTATTAGTCCCCTACCGACTAAGTCGAAGGGGACTTTAGGTTTGCACTCCGTCTGTCTGTCTGTCTGTCTGTCCATCTGTCAGTCCTGCAAATCAGTTTTCCAGACTTTTTTCTTCGTGCTTGAAGATATTTATTTGATATTTGGTTTATTGATTTATCATGACAAGTTACAGGTCAAGTTCAATTTTCACGATTTTAGCTTTTCTCTTTGTTCAGTTAAAGCCCTTTCCCTAGAATTAAATTTTTTGATGAAATACTTATTAATTAGTAAATTTCTGTTCAAAGGGAAATAACTCTGTTTTTAAAAGATTAGATTTTTAAAAGACAAAATGACATTTTGGATTTTTTTCCTTTTCTTTGGTAAATTGTTTGAAGAATTTAGTGGTAGGTTTGTTTGTCATTCTTGAAGATATTGATTTGATAATTAGTATATAGTTTTATCATGACTAGTTACAAATCAAGTTAGAATTTTGTTCCAGTCTGATAATTTTGTGCAGAGTTATGGTCTTTGGACATAGAAAATTCACTTAAATAATCAGTTTTCAACAGTTTTTTTCGTCATGCTTGAAGATTTTGACTTGAAATTTTTATATAGTTTACACCATGACAAGTTATAGATCAAGTTAGAATTTCGTTCCATTACAATGAATTTGTAACCGGTAGGGGACTATGTATTGCCATGCAATACTCACATAATGCTTGTTTGGATAAATTTTTGTTAGTAATTTTAATATTCCATTTTCTGTTATGTTAAGTTCCTCAGCAGAAGAGTATTTACCTGAAATCTGACATCGGGATGAAAACTCATGCTGGTTGTATGTATCCTTGGTGGAGAAAGCCGATTGGAACTGTTTATTAAGGATGGTTGCTTGGTCTACTGGGTGTGAGTGTAGTAGTCCCTCACTACGTAGTGGTGCCACTCCACTGCTCTCCGTTCGTTTATGTTTTATGTATGTCCAGAACTGTTTCATATTACTGTATTGATTGTTTTCCTCTTTAGGTGTTACTGTGTTCTCAATATAGTTCCAGTATGCTCGACGGAGTTCTCTCGTGACCATTTGCTTGGTTTCTTTAAATTTTGAGGTGGTTTTGGATCAGCTGACTTTTTCTTTTTTTTTTGTACAATCTGTCTCGACGATGTATTAACTTGCGTTTATTCGGAGTGAGCCAAGAGAGGCGATCTAAGTATCTTTCTGTTTTGCAGTTTTATGCGGGATATGAGTAGTTACACTCTGGTTAAGCTTGGATTTGAACAGTCACCAGAGTTCCTCCGCTGGACTCCTATTTGCAGCTAATTCTTTGACCTTCTGATGAGTTTCATTCATTTCCTGTTTGATAGTTTTCCAATTTGCTTTCCTATATAAGGGGATTTTTCTTGGTTTTTGCTTCCTTGATATAGGCTTGGGGTCTATTTCACTGAAGACAATATCATGGTCTGACAACCCAGGTATTACTTTGGTACGAGTGAAGCGTGACGGGTTGTTTGTGATCACTAGGTCCAATGTACCACTTGCGTTCAATTTAAGTTTATTGATAATAACTGTGACGTCAGTGCGACGTTAAACATGTCATAAGTCATATAATTTGACTAGAAAAGGACAAGATTCTAATATGACGTTCTTTTTCGTTTTGGAAGCAAAACCTTGTTCTACTACCAATAGAACATGGGTTGCACGTGATTGACGTCACAATGGAAATTGCAACATCAGTTGTATTTTGAACAACGCCGGATATCAAACTGTTGATTTTCTGTAAAGTTTTGGCTTCATCAAATCAAAATGACTACCTTTCGAACGTGTATTATAAGTCCGCTTTGAAGTTCAAAAGTTCTAAATTTCCTATTAGAATCGAAATAATTCTATCATGCCATGCTCTATTATTTCAATATGGTAGGCATTCCATTTGTCAACATTTTACACCTCGCTTACGCTCTGTGTAAAGATATTGACAAATATAAAGCATATCCATGTTAAAGGGGCATTAGCTACGAGATGTTAAAAAAAATCAAAATATGCATTCTTTTGGTTCAATCATTTATGAAAGTGAAATAGTGAAATGATAATTCGCTTTTACCAGCCTGCATGTTTGGTTCAATTTTGTCAAAATGAGCTAAGAAACATTGCTGGTGAATTATTCACTTGCAAGTGAATAATTCGACCTCATAGGCCATTTCTCGAATCATGTCTTTTACCGGAAAATATCGTCAAATTTGCACGCCTTTATGACTTCATTTACCAGTAGAAGGCGCGCCTGTATCCCTGCTCTATTTAAGTTTCAAGCACTTTCAGAATCGTCATTCTGCAGGGTAGTTTAGAAATAATTTATGTTCCGTAAGTACGTAATCTTAATTCCCGTACCACTTAAGGGAGGGTGACCAACTTATTAGATTTTAATTTTCCAAATATTTTGTGCAGTATAAGATCAAACTTTTTCACCCGTTCGCTCAACATGAATTGGAAGTGACGATGCCTACATTTTAGTCGCGTGGTGATGGAAGTCACATGACAGATTCAACTCACCACCGTATCCCGGAACTGGCGCATTGAAACCGTATTCATGTGACCTTCTATCTAACCCCTTAGCTAGAGATGGGAGGTATGTTCAGCTATTAAAAGGAAAAGAATGTCAACATTGAAAGTGAAACAAGGGTAAACCATTTGGTTGACTGATTCGATCCACAAAAACTCTTTCTTATACAGGTGAAAACGATGATTAACATATATTTTTAACCTATAATATAAAATCAAACAGACCAAGAAAAATCCAATTGCTTGATTTCGCGATCTATTTATATCTATATTTATGTTTACATCGGGTTATATGACCGTCGGTAGTCTTCGGAGGTCACCTCGATGGTTAATTAGATGGCGTCTAGACTAAAATACACACGAAATCCGAATACATATCATCGATTCCATGCCTTGTTAATTGTTCACTTAAGACTTTTTGTAAGTTTGATATACGTTTTAGTAGGTAATAAATCAGATATAAGAATTTGAGTCAAATCGGTGAGCATGAATTTAACAGCTAATGTCCCTTTAAAATGAGCATAGAGCATGGCATGAAAGAATTGTTTTTTGATTTACCCACCATTTTCTTCGGAAAATGCATCTACTAAGTCAGGAATATGGCAGTTATGTTTCATTTGTTCTGTAGGTTGATAGCGTTTGATTTTGTCAGTTTTTATGGACTTTCCCTTTTTGATTTTGCCTTGATGTTCAGAGTGTCTGGGTGGGGTTAACAGAATAATGGGCAAAAAAGCAGAATAAATGGCAAAAAATATAAAAAATAGAGAAAAACATGCCAATAAAAAAAAACAATAGAGAATAATGGGGTGCTAAAATATAAAAAAAAATAGAGTATAATGGGCAAATAATTTCAAAGTATAGAGAAAATTGGCTTAAAAAAATTGAAATATACAGAATCTTCTCATATTTTATTTCAAAATAATTCTATTTCATAGATTTCTTTTTATTCACAAAAAAAGTGTTTTTTCATGAACAATCTATGCAAATTTGGGCAATTTTGTACGACTTGAAAAATACCACGGTGAAACATACTTTTTATTATATTTTTGAAAAAAGCATGGACAAATCTACATTCTGGCAAAGTATAAGAAAATTCTATCTGAGGAAATATATACCAATAATCCACCTTAAGTTGTGATGTTACACTACTGTCCCGTGTTAGGGGAGGATTGAGCGTTCGCAATCTTGTTCAACAACCCCCTGAAACATTCTTTATGTGACTCCCCATGTAATTCTGGGTCTGCCGTTAGTTGTTGTTTTTATATCTGTTATTCTTTTATTGTTTTGTCATAAATCAGTCTGCTGTTATTCGATTGAATTGTAGATTATATTTTGTCATGTCGGGGCCATTTAATTATATTTGACTAAACTGTATGGGTTTTACTCATTTTAAAAGTCCGAACGGTGACCTATAGTTACTAACATCTACATCATTGTATCTATGTTTGACAGTTGCCTCATTGACAATGATACCACAGCTTATTAACTTTAAACTTATTATTAGTCCCTTTATCCATTATATATTAGAGTGGATTTAAATAAGCTATTTATTTCAATTTACCACACTGGTTAGGCATTTTGAGTTATGCCAATCATATTTTGATTGGGGCACACAAAACATAGATTGTTACTCACCACACCCTCTACATCTTGTGGTTGCTGGACACAAAACATAGATTGTTACTAACCACACCCTCTACATGTTGGGGTTGCTGGACACAAAACATAGATTGTTACTCACCACACCCTCTACATCTTGTGGTTGCTGGACACAACACATAGACTGTTACTCATCACACCCTCTACACGTTGGGTTTAGTGGACACAACACATAGATTCTTACTCACCGCACTCTTTACATGTTGGGGTTGCTGCACACAACACATAGATAATTACTCACCACACCCTTTACATGTTGGGGTTGCTGTACACAACACATAGATTGTGACTCTCCACACCCTTTACAAGTTTGGGTTGCTGCACACAACACATATATTGTTATTCACCACATCCTTTACATGTTGGGGTTGCTGTACACAACACATAGATTGTTACTCACCACACTTTACATGTTGGGGTTGCTGCACATAAAACATAGGTTGTTTCTCACATCACCCTTTACATGTTGGGGTTAGTGATCACACTACATAGATTGTTACTCACCACATCCTCTACATGTTGGGGCTGCTGGACACGAGGCATATGTTGTTGATTCGTCGCTACTATCAGAACAGTGGTTGGTACAATCACACTGTAATGTATTATTGATGCAACCAACTATCCCAGATTCACATGTAAAAAATCCTGTTGGACAAATCTGAAATGTTAACAAAAAAATATTAAGGACATGATAGAAATCAGATGAAGATGAATGTGCACCAATCTAAAACAATTGTATCCAAAAGTTCATCATACGGTCTTAACAAATGTATGTAAATTTATGATTGATTGGTAACCTCGTCCTTGTGCAATATTTGAAGTCAATAATCAATTATCAGTTGGTTTTTTTTTTTATTAAATTTTATTTATTTACCGGACTTCAAATCCATCTGTGTCGGATGTTGCAGTATTTGTAGTTAGTTTTATTATTTCTAAGCTTCATTTCATGCCTCCTAATCGAAGATTTTTATTTGAAACATACCTGAACATACGTTCCTGGAGCAGGAACAGTGCATGCACCTGTGTTACAACTTGCTATGTTGTAAGTATCTCCTGAACAGTCGTTTCCTCCATTTGATGGTACTGGATTGTCACAAGAACGTCTTCTAGCTTTCTTCCCTCCTCCACATGTGTGAGTACAATCCCCATACGAGCCCCAGCTACCCCATACACCATCAACTAAATTTAAATACTACATTTCAATAAGGGAAAATCACCATACACAATGAATTTTTTTACAATCTACTGGTGTCCAAAGTTGCTCCTCTTAATAAAATAAAGAGATTTGGTATGATTGAGAACCCAAGAGACCAATGAACAAGGATGTAAACCACTATACACAACCGTACTTCCTTAAAAGCAGAGCTTCCAAACCTTTAATACCGGTTTACACTATTTTAATTAAGCTAATTAAGTAATTTTAAAACTGTCTGTCAAAATGGTTCTACATAATATGATCAGTATTTGAGAAAAGTCAAGGTTTAAAAGTACACCGTTTCTACAAAACTACAAAAGCAGATTGCTCCTCGAAATTTCAAAGAAATATAAATGTAAACAAACATGATTTTTTTTCATATTTGAATGCATAAACTACTTTTCTCTGAAAAATATCGTTCCATATTACTGTTTAAAATGGCTCTTAAAGCTATTTAGTGTTAGTTTAATCAGAATCTTTGTTAAATGGGAATATCTGTAAAACTTTGATATTTCGGATCGTGAAAGATCGGGTACGGCTTTTTGATGATCGTGAAAAAAGGATCGTGAAAGATTTGTTGCCGCTTATTCGTCATTGCAAAAATCAACGAAAACGATCAAATAATTTTTTAAACACATGATAATATTTCTTTGTAATTGTTATAGCAAAAGATTGGATTTGAATGACTTATTTCGCTTCATTTTTGTTTACGAATACGGCTTTGATAGTTTAATGCCATTGGATCTGATTATTTGATAATACCTCACCGACTAGTTGCCTTATAATAATATAAGTCCGTCTGTCCGTCCTGCATAAGTTTTATCTTATGAAAATTTAATATTGTCTCATCTGATTTCCAATAGTTTTTATGCAAAATCATATCTATAAAACGAAAAACCTTGTTGATTTTTGTAAAAATTGAGAAAAAAAACATTGTTTTAAAAAAAACGCAGGAAAACAAATGTTATATTCCTGACTTGGCACATGCATTTTCTTAAGAAAATAGTTGGTTAAACCTGGTTTTCTAGCTAGCTAAAACGCCCATTTGTATGAAAGTTGTTTAATGTTCCGTAATGTTGGCATTTTCTGGTCATTCAGTATGGACACGCCTTGTCTTTCACGATCAAAATAATGCGATGCCTGATCTTTCACGATCAATATCGATTAAAAATCAACAAAAAAAATACTTTTTCAAAAATATTATCTTAATATAAGTTTTTATTATTCTGGTGATCGAGACTAAACATGGGGGTTGTGACCTTAAAACTAGTCTTATCCCGCCAAATTTGCATATGCATGTCCCATGTCAGATCCTACGTCATAAGTTGCTGTATATTGCATCTATATGTTTTTCGATATTTGGAGAATTGAGTCTTTAATTGTTTCACAATGTTTATAAGACTAAGAGCTTCAGATATTATATGGACATAGTTTGTTTTTGAAGTCTGTATGTTGCATTTTTTTTAAAAATTTATATTGGTATCAATTATTTTTATTTATTGGTCTCATATGTTCATATTTGTATCACATATTTAATCTGGTATTATATGTTTATATCGGTATCACATGTTTATATTCACGGTAGGTATAGTGTCCGCCTGTTTTTCGAGTGATTTTAACGTTGTTTTTTTTCGAGTGTGACCACGTTTTTTCGAGTGAATATGATCAAAAATATTAATAAACAGACTGGTATTGAGGTGACCACCGCGGTATATGTCTAAAAATGAGGCAGACTTCCTTTTTTGTAAGACGTGAAATAGATGCTTAAACTTAATATACAAGATCATACAAGGCAAGTCAGTATTGGTGATAAAAAGAAATCATCACCCTTACATTATTTTGTGTTCTAAATGTTTAATTTAGCTTTACAATGTTTGTATTCCAAGATATAGAATAAAGCTATTTTTATACAAATACCAATGCAAATGTCAAAGGAAATGTATATCAAAAGGTTCAAATAAAGTACTTTTCAAAGCACGAAACCAATGCATTTTACCAGTTTGATAATACTGTAGTACGTAACATCTACATTCGTAAAAAGCATCGTACATTTGTATATATTATTGTTTGCCACATCTTATAAGTTGCATGGACACCGGCATGGGTATATTTGGATAGACCAAACATGTCCACGCCCATGTAAATATGGTGGAACTATCCAACAAATCAACGCCCAGGTACACATGTTGTATCGATCCAAACATACGTATATCAACGCCCAGGTATATATGTTGTATCGATACAAACATACGTATATCAACGCCCAGGTATACATGTTGTATCGATACAAACATACGTACACCGTATATCAACGCCCAGGTATACATGTTGTATCGATACAAATATACGTATATCAATGTCAATTCGACCAAATATGGATATCATACAGTAAATACTCGTGTTGTTAACAATATTAATGTGAGCACAGACATATATATAAAGAAAAGGAAATGTGGTAAGAATGCCAATGAGACAACTATCCACAAGAGTTCAAATGACGAGGATAAAAGTAGATGTAGGTCAACGTACGGCCTTCAACAATAAGAAAACCCTATACCTTATAGTCAGATATAACAGACCCTAACATGAAAAATTGAAACAATCAAAACGAGAAAACTAACGACCTAAAATTTATAATACAAAGTACAAAAAAAAACAAATATGACGGACATGAACCAACGACAACCACTGAAATACATGTTATATTTTTGCGCCTGTCCCAAGTCAGGAGCCTCTGGCCTTTGTTAGTCTTGTATGTTTTTTTAAGTTTAGTTCATTTATATGTTTTGGAGTTTAGTGGGACGTCCATTTTCACTGAACTAGCCCACAATTTTATTTAGAGGCCAGCTGAGGACCACCTCCGAGTGCGGGATTTTCTCGCTTCATTGAAGACCCATTGGTGGCCTTCGGCTGTTGTCTGCTCTTTGGTCGGGTTGTTGTCTCTTTGACATATTCCCCATTTCCATTCTCAATTTTATTTTGACTTGGGACATGCATATATAGACTGTGGCGGGGTTAAACATGTTTGTAAGCCCTCAACCCTCCCCATAACGTTGGACAGTGGTGTTACAGCACAACATAAAAACAAACTGTAAAAATCAGTTACAAATGGCTTTACTCGATACATCGGTACGAAGCACAGACAAAACACCTAACATAAAAACAAAAGATACAAAGTAAATGGAAGCTAGTTCAAAGCCAGTAACAACTAATAGATAAATCAGGTTTTCCCAGACTAAAGTATCAAGCAGTACAATGTTGGGTTGAGGCGTACGTACATTGTGTGCGTCAAGCGGTATGTGTATTTTTTTTAACAGAAAATACTTCCTAGATGTTTCATTTATTATTTGTCTTGACGATAATTTGTTTTATCGTTCTATGAATGGAAAACAAGAACAATTTTCAAATGCTACTACTGTGATGAGGAGTATGATCAAGCGTATGTTATTATTTATTTCATTGTTTATCATATATTCTATTCAATTCAAAATGTTTGTCAATAGGAAATTGTAAAGGGGCGGAATAAGTGTATTTTAATTAAATTTTTTTTGGGGGGGGGGGGGGGGAGGAGGACTTGGATGGTCCCAGGCCTCTCTTAGTAGAATATTTGTGGTATATTACATTTTACTGAATTCATAACTTCTGTCCCTTTGTTTTCTTAACCCTTTTTTTAAAACTCCAGGTGTCGCCACTGTAATATATAAAATTCATAAACTATTATTTACTGTAAAACATATTATAGCATGAAAGGATATTGAAAAGATTATGAGTCCCCCTGTTCTCGGTTCTAAAGACAGTTTTACAAATAATCCAGTAATTTCTAATATATCTTAATGCTGCAAGGTTATGGTAAAATGTTTTCAGAACAGAAATTTATCATTAAATTGAAAAGGGTTTAATTTTATCAACATAGTTATATGTTTTGTTACTTATTAGGAATATATAATATTGCCCTTCGCTAAATTACAGTTACAAACTAGAAAAAGTAAGTTTTTAAGCCAAAGAATTCCTTCTTTCTTATTCACATTTTTTTCTTTGAAAAACCCGGACTATTTGTTTAAAAACCCAGACGTTTTAAATGTTGCTCTCGAAAAAACACGGACAATGTAAAACACTGAATTGTTAGTGAACTATAAGAAAATTGTGCCTCGTTTGTGCTCAAAACATGTTTAGTATTCAGAATAAGATGGACAGTCATGAATAAAACTATTATATAGGCGAAATAGCAGTAAATTGATCGATCGTATGTTATATCACTCGAAAAAACCTGATCTACACTCGAAAAAAGAGGGCCGATTCACTCGACAAAACATGATCTCCGCGGGACACTATACCTACCGTGAAATTGGTATCATTTTTTATATATATATTGGGATTATATGTTTGTATTGATATTACACGTTTATGTTGTTATCCAATATTTATATTTATATTGGTTTTATATGTTTATATTGTTATCATAATTTACATTGGTATCAAATGTTTATATTGGTATCAAATGCTTATATTGGTATTATAATTTACATTGGTATCAAATGTTTATATTGCTATCAAATGTTTATATTGGTATCAAATGTTTATATTGGTATTATAATTTACATTGGTATCAAATGTTTATATTGGTATCAAATGTTTATATTGGTATCATATGTTTATATTGGTATTATAATTTACATTGGTATCAAATGTTTATATTGGTATCAAATGTTTACATTGGTATCAAATGTTTATATTGGTATCAAATGTTTATAATGGTATTATAATTTATATTGGTATCAAATGTTTATATTGGTATCATATGTTTATATTTGTTATTATACATTTATATTGGTATCAAAAGTATATATTGGTATCATATGTCTATATTAGTATCCCACGTTTGTATTTGTATCAAATGTTAATATGGTTATCATACGTTTATATTGCTTTCATAAGTTTATATTGGTATATGTTTATATTGGTGTCATATGTACATAATGGATTTATATATTTATGATGGTATCATATGTTCATATTGGTATCACAAGTTTATATTGGTATCAAATGTTTATATTGGTATCACAAGTTCATATCGGTATCAAATGTTTATGTTGGTATCATAAGTATATTTTGGTTTCATTTTTATTTTGTTTTATATGTTTATATTTAAATCTAATGTTTATATTAGTATGATATGTTTATATTGGTATTATATGTTCATATTGGTATCATATATTTATATTGGTTTCATAGGTTTTTTTTTGTATAACTCTGATAGTACTTACACACTCAACATAAACCCATAAGCATATAAAATTAAGCTTATAATATTGTGTTGTAACCTCTTTTATACGACGTGAAATAACACAGGTATAAAATGATTATGTCAACGTTTGGTAGCTATTGCGGCCATCATTTTTGAATTTTAAAATGGCAAACGGTTTCGAGTGTAAAATTACTGTTTGTTCCTGACTTGTAAAACCAGGTTCTAATTTTACTGCACCAGATGCGGATTTCGACAGGTAATGGCTCTTCAGTTATGCTCGAGGCTAACGTATATTATAGATTTTGATATAACTAATATGTTTTGAATTACACTTTCTAGTTACCAGGTAACTCTGAACAGATCTTTCGGGAATATACCTGGTGAAATTAAAGGCATTTAAATCAATTCTATTTCTTGATACTGTTTTAGCTAAATATAAATTTGGTTATAATGTTCTAATGTTTCTGTTAAGTATTTAGCATGCTAGTATAAATATATCAGTACGATCGACTTACCTGCACATGGTCCTGTACAAATGTCGCTTTGTGACTCTGTGTTAGAGACTGAACAATCTGATCCACCATACATGGGAGTTGGGTTTGTACAGTCCCTGGTTCTTGTCTTAGATCCTGATCCACATGCGTTAGAGCAGTCCCCCCAGTCACCCCAGTCAGACCACGCACCATTCACTAAATAGATATAAGTACTCAATAGAAATAAGAACCAAGATTTCCTTAAAGTTTCACTGGAGAATGTTTATGTATATACTATTATAGAAAAACAAAGGATATGGGGTATCCATCCATGACACAAAATTAGTACATGCACAGCAAAAAAACACACTAAAAGCAAAGGAACAGTGCTTTTATTAGTGTTCTTCATCTCAAATTAGTAATCTTTCGAATGGAACCCCATATTAAAGACAAGGAGGATATGTAACGATTATCAGGTTGTCTGCATATTAATATTGAAAAATATCAGCTGCGAGTCACAATATGAAGTTTTTTGTCGAGTGAGATCAGCGAACGAGTTTATAAAAAGGCTCCATTTTGTGTCGAGCAGATGATATTTTACAATATCAATATGCAGACAACCATAATATAATCGATTTATCAGATTGTATTTGCATTAAAGAAACAAGCGTTTTTCTTTGTTTCACCAGCAAACCAGAAGATGATGTGATAACTTCGGGTCAAACTTATCAACGTCGGTTCATTATAAGTTATATGTTTCTCTACTGACCCCCTACGGATCCATAGAGGGTTAGTAAAATCCAAAGGGGGTGAGGCCGAAGGCCGAATCTCCTATGGATTTTATTCACCCTCTATGGTCCGTAGGGGGTCAGTAGTTAACCGTATAACGAATTTATCGCCCGCGAGACTTTTTTCCGCTGTGTTTTGTAGAGAAATAAACAATAAAACACAACAACATTAATAGATGACGTCACTATTAACTGTGGACGTGACGTCATGAACCCCCTATGAAATTTACTAACACCCTACAGATCCATAGGGGTCAGCACGTGACGGCGTTAAACCAATCACAACGTGATAATTTACCGGCGGTGCGATAATCATTAATATTACGTCAATAATATATACGGGTCAAAGTTATTAAGGCCAGGTCAACATATTTGACGTCACAAAGCCATGATATACAATTTTACGAAGAGCTGCGAAGAGTGATGCAGACAGTGGGAACACCGATAAATAACAGTATTTATTCGTGGCAATACATACGTTGTGCATTATAGTCATTCGGACAGCACTGTTAGTTAATCCACGGATCACAATTATACTGATTCAGACAACACTGTCAGTAAATCCACGTATCACAATTATAGATTCAGACAACACTTTAAGTTTATCAACGTATCACAATAGACTATTTTCATATTACCGACTTTTGACTCCTGATTATATAATTTGTCGACTGGTTACCTTGGACATCATGGTACCAAGTCAAGTAAGAGCAAGGTAAAGAAGTTAAACCAAGCGTTCAATCGGTACAACTTTGGGAGGAAATTACCTGCTTAACCTTTTTTTTCACTACAAAATCATCGGAAAACAGTAAACTTTCCCCTCAAATTACACCGATTATATGTTTGATTTTACTTATTTTGGTTGCTCTTACTTGACCGAGTACCATGATGTCCAAGGTAACCAGTCGACAAATTATATAATCCGGAGTCAAAAGTCGGTAATATGAAAATAGTCTATTACAGTGAATCAGACAACACTGTCAGTAAATCCACGGATCACAATTATAGTGCTTCAGACAACACTGTAAGTAAATCCACGGATCACAATTTTAGTGATTCAGTCAACACTGTAAGTAAATCCACGAATCACACCTACCGGTATATTGATTCAGACAACACTGTCAGAAAATCCACGGATCTTAATTATAGTGATTCAGAAAACACTGTCAGTAAATCCACGGATAACAATTATGCTGATTCAGACAACACTGCCAGTAAATCCAAGGATCACAACTATACTGATTCAGACAATACTGTCAGTAAATCCAAGGATCACAACTATACTGATTCAGACAACACTGTCAGTAAATCCACGGATCACAATTATAGTGATTCAGACAACACCTTAAGTTTATCAACGTACCACAGTTACAGTGATTCAGACAGCAATGTCAGTAAATCCACGGATCACAATTATAGTGATTCAGACAACTCTTTAAGTTTATCAACGTATAGCAATTATAGTGATTCAGACAACACTGTCAGTAAATACACGGATCACAATAATAATGATTCAGACAACAGTCAGTGAATCCACGGATCACAATAATAGTCATCCAGACAACACTGTCAGTAAATCCACGGATCAACCAATGCGAGTCAATGATATGAATTATTGACAACTTTTTTAAAAGTTTCAATTCGATCTGCGGTTTTGCACTGTCAGTAATCCACGGATAACAATTATGCTGATTCAGACAACACTGCCAGTAAATCCAAGGATCACAACTATACTGATTCAGACAACACTGTCAGTAAATCCAAGGATCACAACTATACTGATTCAGACAACACTGTCAGTAAATCCACGGATCAACCAATGCGAGTCAATGATATGAATTATTGACAACTTTTTTAAAAGTTTCAATTCGATCTGCGGTTTTGCATTTTTCTTCCGACAAGAAATGTCTATGATAAGAAACAAGACATGTTGTTCAGCCATTCAGCCGACTGTGTCTTACACAAAAAAAAGTATGAAGCTTAAACTCACAATCACAAATAGATAATCATACATGTTAATAAACTGGAAAAGACAAAAGCGAAAATTATCATTCGAAAAATCAGAAAAACTTAACCAATGTCCTTCCATGTTTTTAATAAGTAAAAGCGTGTGTATCGAAAGGGTTCTAAATGGCATTCACCATGTTGAACTCTGTTAAGTTGTGTAAAACAAATATGATCAAGAATTGGTGAAATTATCAATCAATGATTTTTTTCAGATGCCTCTTATTCTTATATTTGAATTGTGATGATCAACACGTACTTCATGTACCATCAGTGGAGCGGGAATTGCTGACCCTTCTGGAGATCCTGATAACCTTTTTTCTTCTTTTAAACTTTTTCTGGACTGTTTGTCTGTCATTTTTCTATAGTTGTGTTTGTGTCCATTAATAAATTATAATTTCCCCTTTCCACGTTTTGAACTGCCATTTGGGACATAACTCGGTTTCTGAATCTATTATAATAAGAGAATTTACTACAAAAGTGTTATTTTCATCTGTTAAAAGGAAGAAGATACCAAGGGACAATCAAACATTATATTACAATCACAAATATCAAAGTATTATACCGATGTCTGCTAAAATATCAAAGTATTATACCGATGTCTACTGAAATATCAAAGTATTATACCGATGTCTGCTGAAATATCAAAGTATTATACCGATGTCTGCTGAAATATCAACGTATTATACCGATGTCTGCTGAAATATCAACGTATTATACCGATGTCTGCTGAAATATCAACGTATTATACCGATGTCTGCTGAAATATCAAAGTATTATACCGATGTCTGCTGAAATATCAAAGTATTTTACCGATGTTTGCTGAAATATCAAAGTATTATACCGATGTCTACTGAAATATCAACGTATTATACCGATGTTTGCTGAAATATCAAAGTATTATACCGATGTCTACTGAAATATCAACGTATTATACCGATGTTTGCTGAAATATCAAAGTATTATACCGATGTCTACTGAAATATCAACGTATTATACCGATGTTTGCTGAAATATCTAAGTATTATACCGATGTCTACTGAAATATCAAAGTATTATACCGATGTCTACTGAAATATCAACGTATTATACCGATGTCTGCTGAAATATCACAAATATAAATAGACAAACGTGGAAGTGGAAAAATTGGAAAAACAGGAACTCCAAACTTTTCTTCGTCAACAAGATTGTTACAAATGCACGCGCGCCCATCACACGATTCCATAATCATATCTAGAAGCAAGGATACATAGTGCACATTTGTCAACTTACCCGCTGGACAAGTATTCGTATTACATGTTTGTGACACCTGTGTATCACCAACACAATCTGCTCCATTGAAAGAGGGAAACGGATTTGAACAAGACCTTGACCTATATCTAGTGCCGGATCCGCATGTCTGTGAACATCCACCCCAGGATCCCCAGGCAGACCAATTCCCATCAACTGAAAATCAAATGACAGTATTAAAAACAGTATATTCTTAAGTTTCTAACAGTTTGGATCTGTAAATAAATATAATTAAGTACAGTATATTCTTAAGTTTCTTATGATTTGGATCTATAAAACAGTAAACAGTATGATATATTTTCCATCTTCATGCTGTGTAACTAGACTCGCACATATGGATCATTATATATTTACAGTTTGAAATGTTGTGTGGGTTTTTTTTTTGGCTTTGTCTGTTAAATCTTGTGAATTACTTTTGTATGTTACCTATAACGAGACCTCTTAACTTGTTTTTTTCATAAACTAAAACCACAGATACATCCTTATCGTAAACTAAAACAATGAACGAATTGAGAAGCATATAATTCATGATACTAGTATGTGTAAAAGTTAAAACCCGTATATAGTATGTGTTATAACTATGATGTTATGATCTTTGACTTTTGAATTACAATTGATACAGATAATATATAACCCTTCCTGGTAAAACTCCATAGCTTTATCGAATAAAGCCATTTATATAAATATGACGTGAGAATCTACACGGCAAAATTGATTCTCATCTTTGCTTTCCGTTGAAAGGAACTAATACTATTTTACAGTTAGGGGAGCAATCCGTAACAATGTATGATTAAAGAGTCAATTTTAGGCTTTCGGAAATAACCTTTGATAGTGTTTTGCATATGATGTATATTTGAATTAAGGAATCAGGAGTATACCGATTTCAAAATATCATAAATGGATTAAGAAGACAAACGAAGGTCACAATCAAACATTGAGGGAGCGAGATCGAGTGTGTCCACAGCGCATTGAGGGAGCGAGACCGGGTGTGTCAACAGCGTAAGCATCTCCTACTATGCATGCATCATCCGCCATGAGAATCCACACTGAGTCAAAATGTCACAATCGGGAATAGAACAAATCAGTAAAATCGAAGTTTATACGACTATTCTGGCATCTAAGACTGCGAAAACATATCGCCAGTGAGTTGAGACACGGACATACCGTATTGGTCAAAACTAAAATGAATGACCGGTGACTATGTGAACAAGAATGCTAATTTTGCCTTTAAACCATGAAGTTAAGTAAGACATATTTAATTAAAGAACGTATCTGGAAAGAAAACTGTTTTTCAATATGACACTGACAATGCATGAAGTAATGATTATATTGATGATTATAAAGAGTAGTAGATTTAACTTTCATACTTGATAGATTTTCCTTATTTCCATTCTATATCGATAGGTACATGCTTCAAAATTGTAAAATGTTATGCTAATTTTTTTCAGCAAATTGAAACAAGGATTGTATAAAGAATATACCGACTGTAAATACCCCGGACTAAATTTGACTTGAACTTTTTTTTAAAGAAAATTGGAGAAAAGGAACTACTGTAATTCATCTCGATATACGTCATACATTGGAAAACAATGCCGTTAGAAAGCTAGGACCAAATCGATACAATCGACCACCAGCATTTGATAGAAAATGTCTGGCTCACTATTTGATAAAATTGGTATTTTTACAATATATAAAAGAGTAAATTGTTGATGACTTATTTGATGTGAAAATACGGTATCTCGATCACTATGATTTTGTGAATTAATTCTGGTGGTAAAAGTCGATTAAAATTTATTAAAATAAGTCGTGTTCTTAAAACATTAATAAATATCTGTTTTTAATCTTCATCTCTTTATATTCAACCAAAAGCGTTTGTTTGTTTACAAGAAGTGGCATAAATCATAGACCAGACATCGACACTTGTATTGGTAAATAATTACAGAAAGACTTATCTAGGGTTGGAGATTTAGCCAGCTGTAATGATGAAGGAATACTCGGTAATAGAGTAAAGTAGGCTGGACAATTAGTCACACTGTAATGGTGAAGAGAAATATAGAGAGGTATGTTGCACATTGATCGCACTTTAACGGTGAGGGGTAATGGAGAAAGGTAGGTAGGACAAATGACCAACCTGTACCACAGACATTTACAACACTGTAATGTTTGAAAGATGACAGATAAAGGTTAGATCGTGTAATACTGTTTACCTGCTAACGCTCCGGAGACAATGCAGAAAAATGGAATTATGCTCTGTAACATCATAATGGCAGTTTGTCCTCTGAAAAAGTCATGTGATGAAATCAGAATTCTATTGCGTCAGAAATCGAAAAAAAAAGTCTTCGTTTAAATGTTAGAATAACTAACATTTTTTTATGTGCCTGTCCTAAGTCAGGAGCCTGTAGTTCAGTAGTTGTCGTTGGTTCATGTCTGTCATACTTGTTTTCCGTAAATTATTTTGTTATAAATTGTGCCGTTATTTTTCTCAATTGAACTGTTTCATATTTTCCATGTCGGGGCCTTTTATAGCCGAATATACGGTATTGGTTTTTCTCATTGTTGAAAGCCGTATGGTTGCCTATAATTGCTAAAATCCACTTCATTTGAACTTTGGTGGATAGTTGTCTCATTGGCAATCATACCACATATCCTTATATATATATATAAGCTACAGTATGTATACAACAATGGTATGAGTTAGGAATTAACAGAACTTAGCTACAGTATCAATACCACCATGGTATAAGTTATGAATTAACTGAACTTCGCTACAAAAAGAATACCTCAATGGTATGAGTTATGAAGTAACAGAACTTAGCTACAAAATGTATACCACTATGGTATGAGTTATGAATTAACAGAACTTAGCTACAAAATTTATTCCACCATGTTATGAGTTATGAATTAACTGAACTTAGCTACAGTATGAATACCACCATGGTGTGAGTTATGAATTAACTGAACTTAGCTGCAAAATGTATACCGCCATGGTATCAGTTATGAATTAACAGAACTAAGCTACAGTATGAATACCACCATGGTGTGAGTTATGAATTAACAGAACTTAGCTACAAAATGTATACCGCCATGGTTTCAGTTATGAATTAACAGAACTAAGCTACAGTATGAATACCACCATGGTATGAGTTATGAAGTTTAGACATTTTGTAAATTCCTGATTTTATTCGTATTTGAGTTATTTGGCTTTACAACTTTTTGTTTATTCCATCGCCACTGATGAGTCTAATGTAGCCGAAACGATGAATCTTATGTAGCCGAAATGATGAGTCTAATGTAGGCGAACCGAGTCTTACGTGTATGTAGCCGAAACGATGAGTCTTGTATGTAGCCGAAACGTACGTCTGGCGTACCAAATTATGATTATAAACTTGATATCTTTGATGAGTTTTACAACCACTGGGTCGATGTTACTGCTGGTGAACGTTTCGTCCCTTAGGTTCTGGGTCGATGTTACTGCTGGTGAACGTTTCGTCCCAAAGGTTCTGGGTCGATGTTACTGCTGGTGAACGTTTCGTCCCTAAGGTTCTGGGTCGATGTTACTGCTGGTGAACGTTTCGTCCCTATGGTTATCACCAGCCCAGTAATCAGCAATGTTGTGTTGACATGATACATGTACGTTTATACTCTGAAAATTGACTGTTTATGTTGCATTATTTAAAGCACTAAGTTTTTCTACTTCAGGCATAGACAGTCTTAGTAGCATTTGGCACACGTTTTTGGAAATGTTGGTTGTAAACGCCCTTCAAGTTCGTGTTTGATGATTTGTTATTGAGTTATAATATGTATTTATTGTCCTTATCTTATTTAACTTAGTTCAGCTATGCCTTTCGCATGAAATGTACATTCCACATTTCCATTCTCAATTTTAATATGGCCTTTATGCTTTAATATCAATAATGTGTTTGGATCTTGTATGTGTTGTGGGTATGTATGTATTTGTCGTTATAAAAATCTTACGTCTAGCGTACCAAATTATAAGCTTGGTATCTATGACAACCTGTAAAGTTAATGAAATGACACCTTTAATACATGAACTTCATTTGTATCTTACTAGAACATCTTAAGATAAAATTTTACAATAAATTACTCACCTAGCTAAGGTAATATTTTCACTTTTTGAATATAGGTTGATACGTTCTACATTTAGTATTATTGCTTGAAAGCTTTTAATCTTTTGATCCTATTCTTTTTTATTTTATGATTTAAAATGTTTAATTTAATGTGCGGTTTAATTTTGACAAAAAATTTAGGTCGGTGTTTAATTCGTATAAGTATATGATTATTATTTTTTAGATAATCTCGTCAAAGATGTATCAACAGTATTGTGAAATGTGTCGTATATGTTTTGATGACATTAATCATATTAATTTATTATCAACATTAAATTTTATTATTATTAAAAATTGGTCACGTATGACTGTCAATTTTCATTTACATCGATATTTTCGTTGATAGAATGTTTGCACAATTGAGAGATGATTGTTTTAGCTCTATTATTTGACGCTTATTGTTAATTCTGAGCAAATACTTAAGTTAAAGGCTTTAATTCAATTGTAAGTTATGGCACTTTATATGCATCCTTGGCTTTCTCATACATCCTTAGCTCTCAAAGATTTGTTTTCGAGCGTTCTTGGTAAAGCCGTGTAAATCAAGATAAGCACCTCGAACGCATTATATTTATCGTTCTTGATAAAAGCACTTCGAACGCATTATATTTATCGTTCTTGATAAAAACACTTCGGTTGCATTATATTTATCGTTCTTGATAAAAGCACTTCGGTTGCATTATATTTATCGTTCTTGATAAAAGCACTTCGAACGCATTATATTTAACTAGTGTCATTTTCACTTTTGATATATCTTTTATATGGCAAATGGTCCAACGACATAAAAAAATGTACGGAAAGGAAAGTGACAAAAAATTAGCAGAAAAATTATATTATCTTAATGAGTTGATCAGATCAGCAAGAGTTGTGCAGTTTGTATGTCGTATAATTTTTAAAATATATTTTTTGAGGTTGGAGGGGGGGGGGGGGGGGGGGGGTAGTCTTTGTACCTTCAATCTGTCACAATTTTCCACTTCGGCATTCGTCAGGGATAATACGCTTTCCGGTAGAGATAGCAATATATTATGCTTGTTGACTTGCAAAGTCAAGTTTTTCCAAACAAATCATTGATAACCAGAGATATACGGGAGCAAATGAGTACTGGTACAAGCACGATTGTTTAAATTTCCTGGATAAATTTTGCATTTTTTATGATATATGTGACTCAATTTTTCCTTCTCTTGTGTATGTAATTATTGCCTTTGTTTATGGCAAACTTCTGAATTCAAACTATTTTATATATTAAAAGAAATGTTTATATGTGTGTCATGTTTTAAATATTTCTCTCTAAAAATATTTAAAAACAATTAGAATTTTTAGTAACGTTGAAGGCACCACATCACTGGTTGTTACATTGTATCCACTATTCGAATAAGGGAATTTTAGAGAATTTTCAACTGAGGATTATATTTTGTGTCTTTCTATTCTCTCGTAAGAAAATCCGTGTATGTGAAGGGGTCATAAAGAGCAATTTAACTATTATATTTCACTGAGTTTAAAAACAAATTTGCCTCATTAGACAAAGAGTTTCAAAGTCATCGTTGGGTTGTTGTCTCAATGACGTAAACTTCGTATCTCCATTGGTTCATATGCCATTCTTTTTCACACTCGTAGCCAGGTTATGTTGGACATTCCCTCCCTCGAAAATAACCAAAATAAAGCAAAATTGAGTACAGAAAAAAAAGTTGAAAAAAAAACAAATTAAAAACGAAAATCAAATAAAAACTACAAAATATTACAGTCGAGATTTAGATTAAAGTTTGTATATTAAGGTCCAGATTTAGTCAAAATTAATATATTTTAGGAGCTCCTTAAATATTTGAGAACCTACATAACACGATCTAAGGATATACTGAAATCGAATTTAGGATATCCTAAAATGATTCGAATTGTGGAGATCCTGCCTGAAATATCCTGAAATCGAATTATGGAGGTCCTCAAATATTTCAGGAGGTCCTTATTGATTTATGATATCGAATATCGAAATTCGAATTATGGCCAGGAGGTCCTGTAATATTTCGGAAGCTCCTTGAATACAATAATGTTGACTAAATTCGACAGAGGCGGATTTAGGGGGGGGGGGGGGGAGGGGGGGGGCAGGGTGCCCGGGCCCCCTCTTTTGTGGGAAAAATTAGGTTGATTATTTAGGGAATCACTAAAGCATGACTAAGCGGACCCCCCTTATGAAAATTTCTGGATCCGCCACTGTTCGCGCAACCCCTCAGTCACAAGACATCCTGGCTACGAGTCTGTCTTTGGGAAAACCTTGTTTTGAATAAGAAGCGGAATTCGAGCGTTACCGATCATACTATCTGAATATTAGTTTTGAAGTTTCCGGTTAGTCCAAAGAGGTGTAGAGCAAATATTTATGGATCTAAGAGAGCAATCTCTGTTAGCTGGTAATATGTTTATTCTGCCATATCATAAACTGTTTCTCATCTATCCATTCAAGCCGTCGGTAGTTTTATAAGCAGGGAAGTGATCAGTCCTAAAAATGGGACCTCAGGTTCATGTTTTGTATCCAACGTATATCAAGTTGGGATTATATCTCCGAAATCACTAAATGGGGTATATCCCGTTTGCATTTGGATATAAAACACCAAGTGGGATATAGTTTTACTGTGCAAAAAAGAAAATTTTGGATTCTGACAAGGGAAAATATTGCAAATTGCAAATGATTACATAAAACATGTAAAAGGCAACAACTTTTGGTAAGCAACTTTTATTAAATACAACAAAAAGTTGCAACTATTGACCTAAATGAATGCACTTTTTGCTAAACTCAAAAATTAAGATATTTTGCACTGAATATTATATCCTTTTTGGGATAAAAACCCAAATGGGTTATTCATGTTGTGATCTGTTATTATGACCCATTTGGGAGATAATCCCCACCCGTTAAATTTAGAATTTGCTTTTTATATTGATGGAGAATATCCATCTAAAGATAAAGTTCCTAAAATTGGTTTCATATCTCCTCATTAAAATGTCAACAGTAAATTACCACAATGTACATGATGTATGTGACTATATGCCTCAACATTTCTATATGTTAAATATATATACATATCTGGGGTTTTGCTTTTTCTTTTGTGTTTATTTTTTCTCTATTCTATATTTTGTCATATATCATTAAGAATTAATAATAATCATTGTAATAAATTATTTGTAATTATACTGCTCTCTTAGGGCATCCTTGATTGACAATAAAAATATTGTATTGTATTGTATTGTATGTGATGTGTATTCAGTAAATACACTGATACTATACATACATTGTAGTAGCTATCATAATTGTGAACTGTATGCTTATAACTAACTGCTGCTTTTAATATTTGCTAGCTTGCATATCACTGATATACAATGACTAAAAGACTTCGCATAAAAATTTGAGAAGAGTAGAAAGTAGAGAGTAGATCTTATAGAATTTAGTATGATTAACTTTTTACTGTGCAATTATAGATCATTTTTTTAAAAATAGATATGCAGAAACTGGCTAACAATCATCTACTGATAAATTTATTATGTAGATCTTTTAGACTTATATTCCATGGCTTTTATATGTGAATGATGACTTTTAATAATTTTAATAAACCACTATCCAGTGACTCAGTAGATCAATCAGTGTTGATTGCTCTAAGATTTTATTTGAAAGCTTGACATTGCTTTTAATATGCAATATATATCACTGCAAATTTACGAGTGCTACATGAATATAATATGTATATTCCTGTAATTATATTTGTGCATGTTAAACTTTGACAGGGAAGGACTTTTATTCTACATTTAAATTTTAAAAGTTTTTGGAATAATTTGATGTGCATACATGTATGTTAATTTTAACTTGTTTTCGTAAAATGAAAACAGTCAGCTGTATGTGCTCAAACGTACATGAAGGAGGGATTTACGTACAGAAGAAGATGGCTAAACCCATTGGCCAAGGTCTTATTTGAAGTCGTTATTTCCAATTTAATCAATACATTTGAAATTATCACCACATAAATTACCATTTTGTATGAACGACATATTTATTTTTATAAGAAATCGGGAAATTTTGGATCTCTGTTAACTTAAAATTCTATGAATTTCAGGATTATTATGATAATTGCTTACATTTTGATTTTTTGGTAGTTATGAGTTATTTTCTTTCCATCCTGAAATCATGGCGGAAAATGCTATACAAAAATAGCCATACACGATATGATTTCGCCTTTCAATAAAACAGAAAATATTAAATAACAACCTGAAAACATCTATAGACAGTCACAGAAAATGCGAAATCATGTTATAAGACTATGCAGTGAAATGATAATTTGAGACGGTTGTTAGTTTTGAAAGAGGACGAAGTCCCTATCATTACTTTGAATGAGGCTGATGAGCTCCCCAAATTATAATAGTTGTGAATTTTATTTTTATTGTCTTAATACATGTTGTCATACTTTTAAGTCAGGCCATAAAAAAGAAATATGTTTGTTTGCCCTAACCCTACCTACCCAGAAAATAGCTGCCTACTCAAAATCTTTTATTGTCCTGATGTGAAAAGTTTTTTTTTTAATCAGATAGACATGAAGACTAAAAAACATCTGACACTTCAATTTCTCTTTGTTGAAAAAAAAAAAAGAAAATGCCTACCTACCTACCCACTGTCTCTACCTTTGGGTAGGGTTTGGGCAAACCAAAATATTTTTAAGTGTGGCCTAAACAGATATACAAATTTACAGGAAATCCTACCCTCTTTTTTTTTAATGTTTCTGGTGCAATCAGGTATGAATTTGCCTCGCCATATTCTTCTTTATGATGTTGTTGAAGGTTTTTTCAGGGTCACAGAACATAAAAATAAGAAGATGTGGTATGATTGCCAATAAGACAATTCTCCACCAGAGGCCAAATGACGTAGAAGTAAACAATTATAGGTCACTGTACCGCCTTCAACAATAAACAAAACCTAAACCGCATAATAAGCTATAAAAGGCCTGAAAATGAAATATGTAAAACAATTCAAACAAGAAAACTAACAGCCTGATTTATGTACAAAACAATAAAAGTAAAACAAATATGATATACGACAACAAGCGACAATCACTGAATTACAGATACCTGACTAGGGACAGGCACATACAGAATGTGGCGGGGTTAAACATATTTGCTGTCGCCAAACCCTCCCCCTAACCTGGGACAGTGGTGTAACAGTACAACACAAGAACAAACTATAAAAATTAATTTAAAAGGTCTTAACTCATCAGATCAATACAAAGCACACAAAAAAACTAACAAAAACACAAAAGACACAAAGTACAGATCTGACAGCTACCGAAAGCTAATTCAAAGCCAACAACAACTAATAAAAAAAAACATATATGATCTAAGATCTAATATCAATCAATACACATATACATGTATAGACCCAAAACGACCCTTCTTCCATTTATGCTCCCTCCAGGATCTTGTAAAATCAATACGGGGCAGATGTAACCTGTAAAAGAGGAAGAAGATCTTGTAAAATCAATACATGGCAGATGTAACCTGTAAAAGAGGAAGAAGCTGTATAAAATCAATACGGGGCAGGTGTAACCTGTAAAAGAGGAAGAAGATCTTATAAAATCAATACGAGGCAGATGTAACCTGTAAAAGAGGAAGAAGCTGTATAAAATCAATACGAGGCAGATGTAACCTGTAAAAGAGGAAGAAGCTGTATAAAATCAATACGAGGCAGATGTAACCTGTAAAAGAGGAAGAAGCTGTATAAAATCAATACGAGGCAGATGTAACCTGTAAACTAAAAGAGGAAGAACTGTATAAAATCAATACGAGGCAGATGTAACCTGTAAAAGAGGAAGAAGCTGTAAAACTAGTATATTCCCATAAAACTTTTTGGTAATCAAGAAAATAAAAACCATTTGTGTTTGAAAAATGAATATTGAAAAGCATTTTAAACTTTGTATCTGAAACTGTTAAAATTATCTCCCTTTGAAAGTTCTTCTGAGGCCATCATCATCATCATGTTAATGATTTAACTGACCATGAGGGAATATCTGATGACCACAGATATGTTCTAGTTGTCATAGTCTGACACAATCCTGTCCTCTTTTCCTTGATTGTGACATCACAGAATGAAACTTATCCTCAAATTTTTTCTTGCTATGAGAAATGATGAGCAACACCATGGGTTGCACATGTGGAGCAGGATATGCCTACCCTTCTGTGTACCTGATATCACATCCAGGTTTTTTTGCTCTATCTTTAGTCTGCTATATAGTTTTTTGTAGACTGTTGTTTGTCTTCTTTTTTTTTTTTTGCCATGGTATTGTAGATTTTTCTTCCACTTTTTTTGAATGTCCCCCTTAGTATTTTCTGTCTCTTTTTAAATATTTTTTGTTATAAATGGTTGGCACTCTGTTTTTAAGGTATTTCTCAGAATTTTCAAAAAATATGATACTCAAAAATAGTGAATTATAACCGATAAATAAAGATTTTTGATTACTTATTTTTGATCTTTTAAAGTTAGATTTGTGTGAGTAAATGAGGACTTTTTCCTTCAATAATGAGAAATATAAATTCTATGGAAAATTGCATTGTGCTCTGCAGCCAAGGTTTACATTTTGTATATATCTGCCATGGCCCATGTTAAGGACAAATTTGAAAATCAACTCTGATAAAAAAAGAGTTGTGACCCTTGAAAAATATGAATTCTATGGAAAATTGCCTTGTAATTACACTCCCAAGGGTCCCCTTCTTGTAAGACTTTTATGAAATTTATATCAAAGGTTTATATCAGCATTGTTTTAAATGGACATGTACAAGCCCCTTAAACTTTTTAGGAGGAATTATATCCCTTTGAAATTTATTTATTTCATATTAAAAATTGCATGGTAAGCACTCTCAGACCTACATTTCTTGTTGGAGATTTATGAGGTTTATATCAGTAAGATATTTCAAAAGTTTGAAAATCAGCTCCCAATAAACTATTTTTACAGGAGTAATGCCCCTTGGAAATTAAAATTACAGAAAATTGCATTGTCAACAAACTTCTACCTCATTTAGTCTCTGGTGGAGAGTTGTCTCATTGGCAATCATACTGTGCACATCTTCTTTTTTATATTGACACCTTAATTACCTGTAGGAATAATATTTATGAATAAATGTGAAAGAACAAAATAAGGAAATATATTTCCGTTTTTGACCTTGGACAGAATAAATATGTGCATCTGCAGGGGACATTGGAATGCTGTTCTTTTATTGCATTGTGTTATATATTATACAACACACATTTTCATGTCTTTTAATGTTTTTACTCTGAGAGGCCACAAAGCTAAATTGTGGAAATTTTATTTTATATTTTAACCCCAAAATTGTACCATAAATGTGAAAATGTATTAGTTTCTAAGCAAGCCATCATACATATATATCCAAGTTTACTATATGGATAAAGGAATTTAAGAAAATAAATGTTACTTTTACAACTCCTTGAAATATATTGCACTTATTGACCCATGTGAGACAAGTATCATTTGTCTTGTTATCAGAAGCTGCAGTATGGTGAGTTACCATGGTTACTGAACAATTATATTTGTTTATTGAATTTGTACAGTGTTTAATTCATTTATCACTTGTTTTGGAAGTTTGTTTTTTACAAATGTTCCTAGTTTTTGTTTGACCCTTTTTACAATATATAATTCTGTATTTTGAAATATTTTCACATCTATAACCTGAACCAATCATGCCTTGACCAAGACAATGTGTTATATGTATATACATGTACTTCTATTTAACACTGAATGTTAAGTTATTTTATTAGGTCCATTCACAGAAAAAGTACTTTTGATAGGTCAATGATGTTTTATACAGTGCTGTCTAATGATAATCATTTGCATTTTATTTCATGCAGAACATTGTTTTATTTACAAAAATGAACATGTGGAGATTTTAACACCATGAACTCTGAGGCCATTACGTGTATATTTTGAGGTTATTTCACCTTGAAATGCTGTAGGCCAGAGAACATGTTGATGTAAAGGGGAATGCAGGGTACTGAGATGTATTTAAACCTCTTTGGAATGGAAATAGATGAAAAAAAAAAACCATGGCTTATAAAATTAAAAACTTTATATTACATTCTATGTAAAGCAGCTGAATATTAGGCTCCTGCTCTTTATTATACCCAGGGGCCTTGGTGACCGAGTGGTCTAAGTAGTTCAACTACAGCAATCTCTAACCTGTCAACATTGTGGTTGTGAGTTCAAACCCCTCATGTTGCAGGTGCATTCAACTCAGATATTAATTGACTAGGATTGTAAGTTATTATGCCGAAGGTCATGATTCTCTCCAGCACTCTGACTTCTGCCACCAATAAAAACTTGCTATGATATAGCCAATTATGCTGTATTAAGGTGGCGTTTATCACCGACAATCAATCAATCAAGAGAGAGAGAGAGGAGAGGGGGATATGCATTAGTATCTTCACATTTTACTTTTATGTTAAATATAAAAATGAGCTCCCACAGTCATGTTTTAGTGACTGTAATTAGAGATACATGTAGATTTTGTAATTTTTTTTAAATGGATGAGAAGTAGTAACAATACCATTGTTATTCAGTATGCTATTTAGCATTTGTACATCTTATGATCTCTGATTTATCAAACTTCAGCAAATTGATACATTTTCTGACATAAATATGTACCCATAAAACACCTGATTTAGTTGTCAGACATATTATGTATGTCTTAATTTGGATTCAGAAATAACTTTTGAAGATCTTTGAACAAGGAATTATTTGAATCTGGAATAATTTTGAATTCTGGAAAATTGATAAGAAATGGATGATGAAAGCTAACCAAACTAAAGAGGGTTAGCCATACGTGCATGACAAAGGTCAATTTTACTTTCACTGATATTTCAGTATGATCTGACTAACCCCGTTAGCCATGCATGCATGGCTAACCCTCCTAAATTGGGTTAGTTTTCATCATCAATTTCAATTTTCCAGACTTTAAAATTATTCCAGTTTCAAATAATTCCTTGTTTTTGGTATATAATTCTTGTCTGGTAAATTTGTGTAGTATTTGTTATTTCAGTCTGGAGACAGTCCTGGCAGAGGGACAGAAACCAGCTAATGTAGATATATACTTGATGTGGATTAATATTGAAAGATGTAGACAAATTATACAGCAGTTACATGGTACAGAAAAAGACCAACTTTATTCAGTATGTTATTTTAAATGAATGAAATATAGACATATCCTTTATACCAGTAATCTTTGATCTTCAATATTTATTCCCATCTGTCACCAGTTTAAAGCTTAAAAGTACATTTTATTCTCAATTTCAGTCTTATCATATTTTACACTCATTTACTACTCAGCTATTTTTAGTCTAAACATATTTTGTTTGCTTAAATATGCAAAAGGGATGATACACAAGTTAAGCAAACTAAGTATAAAGTTTTCTCCCATAAATAATATGTATTATTATAATATTACAAGAGCATCAATGTAATACAATATATATCTAATTACAATAGGATTTAAAAATCATGATGTGAATGTTTGTACGCTGTATGCACATTATTATGATATATTTTACACAAAAAGAAAACTCTTTGATCTTTTGATAAAATAATTTTTGTATAAACGTCATATTTTTCAAAACATTCATTTAATTTTAGCATGTATTAGTAAATCTAGAACAGACATTGAATAACCATACAGACATTCTTCAAGCTAAAATCAAACAGCTGAATGGTAATGAAGCAACTGGTACAACCTCAACAATAGCAGATGGAGCTAAGAAAAGAAAGAAATCACCGGAAACAGTTTCAGGTTAAAACATAGATGACTTTGGTCTATCATTATTTCTAAACAACAAATATTGAGCTTTTTCACATTAGAATATAAATTATGAAGACTGACTACGAATATTTTAGCTTACTCCTATGATTAAATGCTTTCTTCTCCTTTGTTTTAAAGATAATTATATATATACTCTGAAATTCTAGAATTATACCAGTTTAAATCGCAGGGTGCTATTCAATTGGGATAGATAAATACACAGCCACAGTGTAATTACCTAACCTTTGTCTAAATTAAAAATTAAAAAATTATACCAGCTCTAATCTAACCTCTATTCATTAGGGATGTGTTAATACGCAGCCTCTGTTGTAATTACTTTACCTTCGTCAAATTTGAAATTCTAGTATTATACAAGGTCAAATCGGTCAATGCTGTTCATTAGGAATGTGTTTCTGTGCAGTCTCTGTTGTAATAGCTTGACTTTCATCACCTGTAAAGTTTTGGAATTGTGCCAGTTCATGTCCCACACTGCTGTTCTTCTTGGAAGTATGTCTATGTAGTCTCTGTTGTAAATACATAACCAAAGTCATTTTTGAAATTTTAGAATTATACAAGCGTTGTTCGGTTTTAATTGTATAACTGTAAAGATTGTTATGGTTAAATCAGAATAGATTGATATGATTCATTTTACATCATCATAATCATACTGATGAAGGATATCTGTTATCTGAAATATTTATAGATACTTATATTTGAATTTTTTTTTTATTCTTTTCTTAATATTGGTGTTGTTTTGTATACTTTTTAGGCGTATATATACATAAACTTGGTAGACTGTATTTTTCCCTAACTTTGTTAGTGTGGAGAAAACAGTAGATGCTACCTTTTCTGTAAAACATTCAAATAAATGCTACCTTGTTAATACCTATTATATGGGCCAAATTGCAACCATATGTATTACAACATTACCAATTGAGACTAGCACTCACTTTTTTGTAGATGGTGAAAGGAGCCAAAGAAGAAGTGCCATTGAGGAAACTATAATAGGAAAGGGTGGATTGATGTTCGATGACATTGCAGGCTTAAAAGATGCCAAACAAGCACTGAGGGAGGCAATTATCATGCCATTACACTACCCCCATTTGTTTACAGGTAAGGTTAGACTAACAATATAAAAAAGAAGATGTGGTATGATTGCCAATGAGACAACTCTCCACAAGAGACCAAATGACACAGAAATTAACAACTATAGGTCACCAAACGCCCTTCAACAATGAGCAAAGCCCATACCGCACAGTCAGCTATAAAAAGCCCCGAAATGACAATGTAAAACAATTCAAACGAGAAAACTAACGGCCTAATTTTATATGTACAAAAAATGAACGAAAAACAAATATGTAACACATAAACAAACGACAACCACTGAATTACAGGCTCCTGACTTGGGACAGGCACATACATACAGAAGCCCATATATAGACAATTATCTGATATCATGCCATCACCTTACCTTCATTTGTTTACATGTGAGGTTTGGTAAATAAGCCTTGAAGGAGAAATACCACTATGGTTTTCTCCTATTGGTCTTTGTATTAAATTTGCACTTTTCAAAAAATTGTGCAGAATTTATCTTTGTTTCAAATAAAGAAATACTTGGCATGAGTAAAGTTGTATCCTGTCCAGTACTACAGAAAAAATTTCACATACATTGCATATAAGCTAATAACCATCACTGAAAGTTAACCAATCAAATTTTAACCCCCTTTTTCCCTGCTTACAAGCTATAGTAACCATGTAACCTCAAGTTTCCAAAATGTTTTATAGAAACACCAAATAAAAAAAAAAATGGTGCTTTAAAACACCCAAGTTATATGTTTATGACTCAGAATATTTTTCTGCAATGAAATGCCAGGGTTAATTTCATACAATTGTCAAATTCAAGGGAATATTTTTTTCTACCCATTTTCTGCCAGATGTGACATACTATGATTTGGCTGAAGGAGGCAATTCTCATACCATTACAGTACCCCCATTTGTTTACATGTATGATAAGGAAAACAAGCCCTGAGTGAGGTAATTATCATGCCATTACACTACCCCCATTTGTTTATATGTATGATAAGGTAAACACTCCCTGAGTGAGGCAATTATCATGCCATTACACTACCCCCATTTGTTTACATGTATGATAAGGTAAACACTCCCTGAATGAGGCAATTATCATGCCATTACACTAACCCCAATTCTTAACAAGCAAAATTAGGTAAGCAAGCCCTAAGGGAGGCAATTATCTAACATTACATTATCCCCATTTGTTTACAGATGAAGTTAGGTAAGCAGGCCCTAAGGGAGGCAATTATTGTGCCATTACATTGTCCCCACTTGTTTACAGGTAAGGTTAGGTAAGCAGACCCTAAGGGAGGCAATTATCATGCCATTACATTATCCCCATTTGTTTACAAAAAAGGTTAGGTAAGCAGGCCCTAAGGAAGGCAATTATGCCATTACATTATTTTTTACTGGTAAGGTTGGATCCTGAGGGAGGCAGTTATCATGTCCTTACATTAGCCTCATTTGTTTACAGGTAAGGTTGGATCCTAAGGGGGGCAGTTACCATGTCATTACATCACCCTCATTTGTTTAAAGGTAAGGTTGGATCCTGAGGGGGGGAAGTTACCATGTCATTACATAACCATCATTTGTTTACAGGTAAGGTTGGATTCTAAGGGGTCGGGGCAGTTACCATGTCCTTACATTAGCCTCATTTGTTTACAGGTAAGGTTGGATCCTAAGGGGGGCAGTTACCATGTCATTACATCACCCTCATTTGTTTAAAGGTAAGGTTGGATCCTGAGGGGAGGAAGTTACCATGTCATTACATAACCATCATTTGTTTACAGGTAAGGTTGGATTCTAAGGGGTCGGGGCAGTTACCATGTCCTTACATTAGCCTCATTTGTTTACAGGTAAGGTTGGATCCTAAGGGGGGCAGTTACCATGTCATTACATTACCCTCATTTGTTTACAGGTAAGGTTGGATTCTAAAGGGGGGAGGGGCAGTTACCATGTCATTACATTAGCCTCATTTGTTTACAGGTAAGGTTGGATCCTGAGGGAGGCAATTACCATGTCCTTACATTAGCCTCATTTGTTTACAGGTAAGATAAGCTAAACCTGAGGGAGGCAATTACCATGTCCTTACATTACCCTAGTTTGTTTACAGGTAAGGTTGGATCCCGAGGGAGGCAGTTACCATGTCATTACATTACCCTCATTTGTTTACAGGTAAGGTTAGGTCCTGAGGGAGCAATTACCATGTCCTTACATTAGCCTCATTTGTTTACAGGTAAGATAAGTTAAACCTGAGGGAGGCAATTACCATGTCCTTCATTACCCTCATTTGTTTACAGGTAAGGTTGGATTCTGAGGGAGGCAGTTACCATGTCATTACTTTACCCTCATTTGTTTACAGGTAAGGTTAGGTCCTGAGGGAGGCAATTACCATGTCATTACATTACTCTCATTTGTTTACAGGAAAGGTTGGGTCCTGAGGGAGGCAATTACCATGTCATTACATTACCCTCATTTGTTTACAGGTAAGGTTGGGTGCTGGTGGAGGCAATTATTAGTCCTTACATTAGCCTCATTTGTTTACAGGTAAGGTTGGGTCCTTAGGGAGGCAATTACCATGTCCTTACATTAGCCTAATTTGTTTACAGGTAAGATAAGCTAAACCTGAGGGAGGCAATTACCATGTCCTTACATTAGCCTCATTTGTTTAAAGGTAAGATAAGCTATGTCATTTCATTAACCTGAGGGAAGTAATTATCAATTCCTTGAAAAGATTCATTGATTAATTATTGTTTTATGCTTATGGTACTATATGGAACCACTGATACTAGAAGGTCTTACCTTGCTTGATTTCTTTTTTATTTATGAATCTAATTATGTTTTAGGTGGAATAAAACCTTGGAAAAGGATATTACTTTATGGACCTCCAGGTACAGGGAAGTCTAGACTAGCCCAGGCCATCTCATCAGAAATTAATTCAACATTCTATTGTGTGTCCAGTTCTGATCTTGTGTCAAGCTGGGTAGGAGAGAGTGAAAAGTAAGCTTTACACAATTTATGTATGTTAGCATGATGAATCTATCTTAGGAACAATATCATGTAGACAATACAAACATTAGTAAACTTTCTTTAATGTTTGATAAAACACAGACTTATTACACACATGCATCAGCATATCTAGAAATAAAAAAATATGCGCAGACTGTATTAAATTAAATTGGAATTTAAGTACACTTCAAAATAGAATCTTAGGCAAATGGAAAAGGTTAACCCACCTCTCCAAAAAATGCCATTTTTCTCAGATTTCAATTTCCAAAGTTTGATTTTTGTCATAAATTGATGGACAATGTCTTATGGGTAATTTTGAACTCAAACAAATCCAACAATTAGAAATGAATGAAAACATTTGGAACAAATAAAAAGAATTTGGATGAACTTTTTGCTGTAATGTTACAGTTCCATATGATAAGCTTTACCTTTTGAATCACCTTCATTGAAAAAGAAATTGCAGAATGCTAGACATAAGTATGCTAATCTGGCTGCTTCAACTTTTTGTATAAAGCTTTATGTTGACCTGGATGCTTCATACTTTGTATACAGATGCCTTATGTTATGAAGATTCAATTTGTCATATGTCCATTGACCTTGGCCTCATTTTCATGGTTCAGCTACTGCTTAAAAAGCCTACAGTGTTTTTGTCACTTATTATTAGTAATAGAATAATTATATTTGGTTTATGGGATCCTTGCAATGTCTACATTTCCGTCAGACAGGTTTCACCTGACCTTGACCTCATTTCCTGAATCAGTGATCGATATTAAGTTTTTGTGGTTTGGTCTGTTTCTTGTATACTATAAGTAGCAGGTCAACTATATATGATTTATGGAATGATTGTAAGGGGTAAATGTCTGTCTGAAAGGTTCATCTGACCTTGACCTCATTTTCATAGTTCATTAGTCAACGTTTAGTTTTTGTGATAAAGTCTGTTTTTCAAATACATTGTACTATAAGCAATAGGTTAACTTTAATTGGTGTATTGAAGAATCGAAAGGTATACATGTCTGTCTAGCAGGGTTCATCTGACCTTGACCTCATTTTCATGAATCATTGATAACTATAAGTTGATGTGTTACTTGTAGTAAGACAATTTAGAGAGTGTACTTTTGTTGAAAATTTCAATTAAAAAAAGGATCATCCACATCCATCAAATTGTATTATGTAGTATTAGTTTGTTATTAAAATGCTAACAGATTGAACCATGAAAGACCACAGGTATAATGAAAACTCAATAAAAAATTTAATTTTTTTATGGTGTTTTACAGGTTGATAAAGGAATTATTTAATCATGCTACAAATCAAGAAGGTAGATCGGTAAGTAAGGCAAAATTAGATGCTGGATTAGTAAGTAAAGCTAGATGGTAAATCGTTAAGTAAGGCTAGATGGTAGATTGCTAAGTAAGTAAGGCTAGATGGTAGATTGCTAAGTAAGCGCAAAATTAGATGCTGGATTAGTAAGTAAAGCTAGATGGTAGATCGTTAAGTAAGGCTAGATGGTAGATTGCTAAGTAAGTAAGGCTAGATGGTAGATTGCTAAGTAAGTAAGGCTAGATGGTAGATTGCTAAGTAAGGCAAAATTAGATGCTGGATTAGTAAGTAAAGCTAGATGGTAGATCGTTAAGTAAGGCTAGATGGTAGATCGCTAAGTAAGTAAGGCTAGATGGTAGATCGCTAAGTAAAGCTAGATGGTTGATTGCTAAGTAAGTAAGGCTAGATGGTAGATCATTAAGTACGACTAGATGGTAGATAGTTAAGTCAGGCTAGATGGTAGATCGCTAAGTAAGTAAGGCTAGATGATAGATTGCTAAATAAGGCTAGATGGTAGATCGCTAAGTAAGTAAGGCTAGGTGGTAGATCGCTAAGTTAAGCTAGATGGTAGATCTCTTAGAAAGGCAAGGTCAGATGGTAGAATTGTAAGAAAGGCAAGGTTTGTTGTAAATCAGTAAGTAAGGCAAGGGAAGATGGAAGATCAGTAAGAAAGGCAAGGTTAGTTGTAGATCAGTAAGTAAGGCAAGGTTAGGTGGTATATTGGTATAAGTAAGGCAAGGTTAGATGGAAAAATTGTATTAATTTGAATGAAAAAAATCATACTTGAATTTATAAAACAAAATTTTAGACACATGAAGGTGTAAAAAAAAAAACAACCAAAAAATCTTTTGAAAGTGTCGTATGCATTTGGAGAAGTAAAGGTATAAACACATCTTGTGTAAGAGATTTGGAAATGAAATTTTCTTTTGATATAAATAAGAAGATGTGGTATGAGTGTCAATGAGACAACTATCCATCCAAGTTACGATGTGTAAAAAGTAAACAATTATAGGTCAAAGTACGGCCTTCAACACGGAGCCTTGGCTCACACTGAACAGCAAATAAAGGGCCCCAAAAAAACAATTCCAACAGGAAAACCAACAGTCTAATCTATATAAAAAAAATGAGAAACGAGAAACACTTATGAACCACACCAACAAACGACAACCACTGAACAACAGGCTCCTGACTTAGGACAGGTGCATAAAAATGCAGCGAGTTTAAATGTTTTAACAGGCATAAGGACCATTGTGTCACTGAACACAGGCACTTGTCTCTGAATTCATTTTTCTCATTTAAATACCTTTAAGTTTATATAACATGAATAAATGTTTAAAGGTAAACAAATATTTCGAAGACAAGTGCCTATGTCACTTAATGTCTTTTTTGAGTGATTGTATATCTAAACATTAGTCATTGGTCAGATTATGGTTAAAAAAAACACACAAAAAATTAAAGACAATTGAATCTAGAATGCTTAGATGAGAAAAAAAACCCGCTTTTGTTGCAATTGTAATTCTGGTTACTGAAGAAAATAATATGAAAAATGTGTCATGAAACAACCAATATGTGGAGATAACTCTGTAACTTACATCCAATTTCATTCACCAGAAAATAATGTCATGTTAATAGCTATATATATAGGCATACAAAAAAGAAAAACTTACCATTTCTTATATAAGGCAGTTCTACGCCAAACAAAGCATGCATAATTTAGATGTATATATTGTTTCTAACAACAACTAAAATAATTTGTGACAATATGATTCGTCACATGACATTTCAAGTTTCAAATAAAAAATGGCAAACACTCAAAATTTTGAATTATGCTCCAATTATGATACATTTATAATACTGAAAATAGAATCTATTGAACCTATGTTTCAAAGTAGTGTCTAAACTGTTGTATAATTTTGAAGGTTTAATACAGGTAGTGAGAATGTCTAACTGTTGTTTAATGCTGAAGGTTTAATTCAGGTCTATAATATATTTTACTAGTTAGTGAAATTAATTTTGAGAACTCTGCAGTATATAGATTAGTCTGAACTGTTATAAAAGGCCTATTGTTGAAATTCCTAAAATTCAAATTTGGTTTGAGATTTAAATTATATATTTGTTGGAAATCAATACCTGACTTCCAGTTATTGGTCAGTTAGTTTCCGTGTCACCATATGCCATGCTGACTTTTTGTTTATTGTTTTGATAGGTTATTTTCATTGATGAAATAGACAGTATTTGTCGACAGAGAAATTCAAGAGAGGAAGAACACACAAGACGTGTTAAGACAGAACTGTTGAAACAGATGGAAGGAGCAGACAACTCAGATTCGGCAGATAAAATATTCTTGTTATGTGCAACAAACTGTCCATGGGAGCTGGACACTGCCTTCCTTAGGAGATTCCAAAAACGAATATATATTCCACTTCCAGGGAAGTAAGAAATTCTATTTCATCCATTGGTTGGCCCTTTTAAACATCACTGGGCTAGGTCATTGAAAATAACTGTGTCTAGCAATGACTGAAAAGACATTCTGACTGAGATATAACTGTTTCTCCAAACCTCCTGCATGATACAGCATGCACATGTTTTTCTTTCAATATTTGACTTCAATCTCTCATTTCCCCAACAATATTTTTACAAACTTGCAGCTTTAAGTAATGATAAGAAAGGATATGGTGTATCAATATATGACACAAAATCATTCTACACACAATGACATAAAAAAACCAACAGTGCTTTTTTGCTGTTCTTAATCTTAAAGTCATAGTGAGGCTTCAACATTGAGCAAAATCTCTTACTCCACTGCATTTTCAAGACAGTCCCTAGTACCAGGTTAGGCAGAATTCTTTGTAATCAATCACAATACTTCTGTACATTGAAAAAGACCACTGTGGGGTAATATCAATAAATTATTTCTGGCAAAGAAGTTGTAACAAAACTTTCATAAATGTCCGACAAACACATTGTAAAATAAGAAAACAATACAAATATTTAGACAACCATGGGGCACATTGAGATATATGTGTTATAACTTTGCAGGAAATTGTGTATGAATAGGACAAATGATTTAGTTGCACCACATAAATTTTCTATAAACAAACTGACTGATAGAGAGAAGTTGTCTCAAGAATAAATACACTGCAACTGTTAATTTTTTTAAAATATGAATTTCACATTTCCCAGAGGTTGTGACTGGAAAAAAGACACAAAATTTTCAAAATCACATTATTCCACGATATTGAGGATTTGTGCGGTAAGAAACTTGTTGTTAGACATGAAATTCATGATTTTTTTTACATGTAATTAGGTCTATGTTTCATTTTCAGAGAGGCCAGAAAAGTCCTGATGAAAATTCACACTAGAGACAATAAGATAGACCTGACTGATACTGAATGGGACCAGTTGTGTGAAAGGACTGAAGGGTATTCTGGCAGTGATATAGCCAATATGATGTTAGAGGCTTTGTTTGGTCCAATTAGGGATCTCCAGGTATCTACTCACTGGAAACAGAGACAAGGTTGGTTCTGTGCATCACAGATATGTACATGTATTCTTATAGATGATAAAGAGAAGTTCTTACCAATCAGAGATCATGGGAAAATAATTATAGGAAAAACGTATGTTATGACAAGACAAAGAGAAAGTATGCTATGATGACCAATTAGCAATCTCCTTTTGCTCATTTGAAATAGATATAACAATGTATAGAAAATAATAGAAAATAATAACATTAATAAACAATACTCTTCTGAGTGACATTAATATCTTTAGTTGTAAGCAAAAGCCTTTACTCCACAAGGGAAGCTATGCATTTGACAGTTTTATATTTTTCATCACCTTGAAGTATGAATAGCAGATATAATGTTATTGATTAAGTTCCTTTTGTTTGTACTGGTATATGTATAGAAGAATCTTTTCCATTTCAGCTAATTATGAAATAATTTAGATTTTAAGATTACTCTACGATCTTTGATAACATTTAGTTGTTTTTTATAATTAGGGCTCCGCCTAATGGCGGGTCGCCTTCTAGTGATCAGTCTTTCCGTCCATCCGTCTGTCCTTCCGTCTGTCCGTCCTTCTGTCCTTCCGTCTGTCCGTCTGTCTGTAACAAATTGTGTCCGCTCTATATCTAGAGAACCGTTATGATTTCATACTTTATACTTGACATGTATATTAACCAACACCAGAGGGTGTGTTATAATGTTTGTACAACTTCCTAAGTTAAAGGCCAAGGTCAAAAATTTTGGTTTCAGATGACAACCCCATGTCCTATGGTAAAGATACAAATTTTTTACCACACGTTATTCACAGCGGGGCCCACAGAGATAGCTCCCATCTCAATGATGTCTAGTCAAAATCAATATTGCTTCTTGAAAGATTCTTTTTTCTTGCAACATACTTATCTTAATAAAAGTGTCCTTAAAAAATGACACATAGCTCAGAATTATGCAGATTCGTATGACATAAATGATTATAGATATTATATTTTGTTATTATGCAGATGGGAAGTTTATGCCTTGTAATCCAGATGAAGATTTCTCGATAGAGGCTACAATGAATTCATTTCCACCAGAAAAGGTGAGGACATATTTCTAAGTAGCTTTTATAAACACTTTTTGTGCCCCAATTTACACATGCCTGTGTTGATGAGTTTTACCTGACCCTTCTGCATGTGTACAGGTAATACCAAATTTAAGCCTTTTTATGTGCTATCAGTAATTACTCACTTACTGTTGACCAGAGGACAAATGTCAGCTATTGCCAACAATAATGGCATAACCCATCTATAGTAAACTTTTAAAAAAATCTTTTATGTGCAATAAGAAAAACCTGATCTGAATCTTTCTTATTCACATCCTCCTCCTTTGGTCTTTTAGGGAAGAGTCGTCCATTTGCCAACCATACCACCTCCTTATTTTTATACGAACGCAAAAATTAAAAATTTTCGGTCGTATATTGGTATGACATTGTCGTCGTTGTCGTCGTCGTTGTCGTCGTCGTCTGGCGTCGTCTGAAGACACATTTGTTTTCGCACTCTAACTTTAGTTTAAGTAAATGGATCTCCATGAAATTTTACCATAAGGTTCAATACCACGAAAGGAAGGTTGGGATTGATTTTGGGGGTTATGGTACCAACAGTTAAGGAATTAGGGGCCAAAAAGGGGCCAAAAATAAGCATTTTTGTAACTTCCAGACATTAACTTGTGTGTAAGTGTATGGATCTCTCTGACATTGTACCACAAGGTTCCATATCACAAAGGGAAGGCTGTAATTGATTTTGGGGGTAATTGCCTGAAAATTTTAGGAATTAGGGGCCAAAAAAGGGGCAAAAAACAAGCATTTTTCTAGTTTTATGACAAAAACTTGTGTGTAAGTGTTTGGATATTTCTGAAATTGTACTACAAGGTTCCATATCACAATGGAAAAGCTGGAATTGAGTTTGGGAGTAATTGCCCCAAACGTTTAGGAATTGGGGGCCAAAAAGGTGCCAAAAATAAGCATTTTTCTAGTTTTCAGACAATAACTTGTGTTCAAGTGTATGGATCTCTCTGAAATTGTACTGCAAGGTACCATACCACAAAGGGAAGGCTGGGATTGAGTTTGGGGGTGATGAATCATAAGGGGGTTCAAAAAATTTGGGGGGTGGTGGGGGTTTTCTTTTTTCATTTTTTTTTTCTTTTAAAATTTTCCATTTTAAGTTGGTTATTTCTGATTTATATTTAAAAGCAAATAATAATGATATGGTAGGAGATACACACCAAACAGGATGTGTAAATTATTATATAATAAGTATTGTGCAATAGCAAGAAATTTTCAATTGCACAGTATTGCACAATAGCAAGAAATCTTTAATTGCACAGTATTGCACAATAGCAAGAAATCTTCAATTGCACAGTATTGCGCAGTAGCAAGAAATATCCAATAGCACAATATTGCACAATAGCAAGAAATTGTCAATTGTACAGTATTGCGCAATAGCAAGAAATATTCAATTGCACAGTATTGTGCAAAAGAAGATACTTCGTATAAATTGCTTATTTCTTGATCAATTTCAATGGGGTTTTATTCTTGAATTCTTGGGGTTCTTTAATATGCTGAATCTAACCGTGTGTTAAGTTTTTGGATTTTGGGCCCCGTTTTTAAATTGGTCCACATTGAGGTCCAAAGGGTCCAAAATTTAACTTTGTTTGATTTCATCAAAAATTGAATTATTGAGGTTCTTTGATATGCCGAATCTAACGTGTATTTAGATTCTTAATTTTTGGTTCCGTTTTCAAATTGGTCTACATAAAGGTCCAAAGGGTCCAAAATTAAACTAAGTTTGATTTTAACAAAAATTGAATTTTTAGGGTTCTTTGATATGCTGAATCTAAACATGTATTTAGATTTTTGATTATGGGCCCAGTTTTCAAGTTGGTCCAAATCGGGGTCCAAAATTAAACTTTGTTTGATTTCAACAAAAATTGAATATATGGGGTTCTTTGATATGCTGAATCTAACCATGTATTTATATTTTTGATTTTTGGGCCCCGTTATCAACTTTGTCCACATTGAGATCAAAAGGGTCCAAAATTAAACTTTGTTTGATTTCATCAAAAATTGAATTCTTGGGGTTCTTTGAGATGCTGAATCTAACCATGTATTTAGATTTTGGATATTAGACCATAATAGGTGAATGTCCAATTTAAAATTTTTAAGTTCTTAGACCACATTTATTCTGTGTCAGAAACCTATGCTGTGTCAAATATTTAATCACAGTCCAAATTCAGAGCTGTATCAAGCTTGAATGTTGTGTCCATACTTGCCCCAACTGTTCAGGGTTCAACCTCTGCGGTCGTATCAAGCTGCGCCCTGCGGAGCATTTTATTATATTTATAGTGTTATGGTTATAATTTATATCTGCTGTTGATTTCCATTTGTTTACTATTCAACACGGCTGTTATTACTATAAAAAGAATATAAAGGTTAAAGTTGAAATGATCAGTTGTCCTGTATTTATTGAGCCAATATAGGCATCAGATATGGGAATGGGGAAGTAGTCCTTTAATGTGCCCCTTGAGAATTTGTTTAGATATCATAATCCCATTGTTCTTCCACTACCAATATGGCTGATGCCATTGAGTACAATTTTTGATATATGCTGGATTAATATAAGAATTAAATATTTTATACCTAATTTAATAAAAATACACACGAAAAAAAAGTCTGAATAATGAAGTATTATTGTATGTTTGTTACAAGCAAAATACCAATACTTAATAACTTGTTGACATTCATAGTATTACCATTGATACAAGCTTAAAGATCAGATTATCTTTACTTTGTATTAAAAATCTAGCTGCCTATTGGATAGATGTTTTGCATTTGTGGAAATTTTGCATATTCTTCTAAATGAGCACTTCACTTACTACAGTTTCCTAAAAAGTATATAGTATTTTAGGTAACTTCTGACTTGTTTGTCATATTTTATAGATAACTGTCTATTGTTGAAGACAATAAATTGACCTTCAGATGTCTTTTAGGATTTTTTGTGTTGTTGGGTTGTTGTCTTACTTATATATACCATACATCTCTTTTTTATATATAATAGATTGCTATTAAAACATGGTATTGTATTATATTGAAGGTAATTCCTAGAAATGTAGCAATACAAGACTTTGAGAAGTCTGTACAGAGCCATGGTCGAACTGTTACTGATATGGAACTCAAAAAGTTTGATGACTTTACAACATCATTCGGAGAAAGTGGTTAATCTGATCATCTCAAAATGAAAAATACGACTTTCTTGATACAACTTAGGAAAACAGAATTTATGAATTGACATGATTTTTTTCTGTGCAATTAGGCAAAGAATTAGTTCAGTGCCAATTATTTTATTGTTGAAAATTTGTGACTGACATATAGATAGATTAAATTTGTTGGATTCAAATATGTTTTATTTTAATTTGTCAGAGACTAAGGCTAGATTGTATAAGGAATATATAGTGCTGTATGATAATAAATTAGGTTTTTGTCAAGCCTGCGACTTTTGTCGCAGAAAGCTCGACATAGGGATAGTGATCCGGCGGCGGCGGCATTAGCTTACTTCTTAAAAGCTTTATATTTTAGAAGCTAGTAGACCTGGATGCTTCATACCGTAGAAAGGCTTGTATAGTCCGCGGTTTTTTTCTCCAAAATTGGACCTTCCAGACGGGGTGCGGACTATAGAGTACAATAAGCAAGAAATAAGAGAAAAATTTCAATTTCGCGGTCGAGGTGGTTTGTTTACGTTCCGCCATCTTTGTTATTTCTATTGTAGAGGGCGCTCTTATCATTTTTCAAACTAATAATTTTAACTCATCCATATTAATAAGTTATTTCTATTCAATATCAAATTAATACTGATAAATATAAAAACTAAACCTTTCATTACAAATTTCTCGTTTCTTTTCAATGCATTGGTTGAAATAAACTGGTATCTGCTCGATTGAAACGATACAAACATAGTGAAAAAGACAACCGTAAACCAGCTTAGAATTTGTAAACTACAAAACGAAATCGGTTATTGTTCGTTCCGTTTTGGTGTTTCATACTGACTAATATGGTTTGTATTAGCTTAAGACCCTTCAAACATTAATGTGATAGATATATTAAAGACTGTTTTACAAAAGGATGGAACTGTTTTGCTTTCAAAGTCGTATTATAGTGATATCTGTTATGTACGGATTTCGACTCTCACCGGTTTATTTCTTCTTTTACACGTGCTTTTTAAACTTCCTGTTTAAACATACACAAGTTTCTAAATTGTTTTTTAAGTGAATTAAACTTATTTTAACAATCATGAAGCGTTCTAGAATCATTAACAAGCAGTTTCAGCTTCTGTTTGATGATGGAAAACAGGTTTTTCCAAGAAAATACCGCAAACGACCGCACAGGATTTGAAATTACCGGAGTTTCATTAGACCTTTTCTAACAGTTACAAAAAGTTTTTTTTCCTAAAATATCGTGGGGAGAAGGGGGTGCGGACTATGTACCACTGCGAACTATACAAGCCTTTCTACGGTACTTGGTATATAGATGCCTTATGTTACGAAGTTTTTGTCTGTCATATGTCCATTGTCCTTGACCTCATTTTCATGGTTCAGTGACTACTTGAAAAAAAAGTCAACATTTTTTGTAATGTTAATTTCTTTCTTATTATGAGTAATAGGATAACTATATTTAGTATGTGCGTACCTTGCAAGGTCCTCATGCCCGTCAGACAATTTTCATTTGACCTCGACCTCAATTCATGGATCAGTGAACAAGGTTAAGTTTTCGTGGTCAAGTCCATATATCAGATACTATAAGCAGTAGGTCTACTATATTCGGTATATGGAATGATTGGAAGGTGTACATGCCTGCTTACCCTTCCGGAGCACCTGAAATCACCCCCAGTTTTTGGTGGGGTTCGTGTTGCTTAGTCTTTAGTTTTCTATGTTGTGTCATCTGTACTATTATTTGTCTGTTTGTCTTTTTATTTTTGGCCATGGCGTTGTCAGTTTGTTTTCAATCTATGAGTTTGACTGTCCCTCTGGTATCTTTCGTCCCTCTCTTGTCCAACTGGTAGGTGTCATCTGACCTTGACCTCATTTTCATGGTTCAGTGGTCAAAGTTTAGTTTTTGAGTTTTTGTCTTTTTTTTCTAATACTATATGCAATAGGTCAACTATATTTGGTGTATGGAAATATTTTATGATGTACATGTCAGTCTCGCAGGTTTTATTTGACCTTGACCTCATTTTCATGGTTCATTGGTCAATGTTAAATTTTAAAAATATTTGTTTTCCATTTTTCTGTATTTGATAAATGGACTATTTTGTTTTTTTTTTTGTGAACATTTTCATACAGTTTGGGGTTCAAGTTTTTTATACATCAATAACTTTGTCAAACATTCTGTTGGTCATGGATTTTTATGAAACTTTGACAGAAGCTTCTTATGGGTAGCAGATGAAGCAAAATTTTGAAAATATTTGTTTGCCCCTCTTCCTGCCTCTGGTAGTGGGGGAGGGGGCATTATATTTTCTTGTCTGTGTGTATCTTTATCTTTGTTAATCTGTTAGTTTGTCCATATTGTATCGGGTTATTATTTTTGGTTACAGCAGTTTATCATACTTAGTACACAAGTTCACTATGATGTGAACCTTTTAAATTATGTCAAACTAAGATTTTGATCCTGATTTCATGGTTCAGTGAACATTGACATATGACTGTGCAAGTTTCATGATTTTCTGTGAACTGTTACCTTGTGAACTAGCACATTAAAAACACAGCTGAGCATGTCGGTCTAGTACAAGGCAGGGTTCATATTTATTTCACATTAACAAGTACTTGTCATGAAATGCATTTAGTATACATATGCCACTAATAGTTCAATACCAATCAATCATCATCTGGCAAAATTACATATTTCCTAAAAATGTGGTTCTAGAGAAGTTCAACAGACAAATCTTGTACTCGATATGGCAAATTTACCCCCAAAAGTTTAAAGTAGTAATTTTGTGAAAAATTTAAGAAGATCAAATCATGTCCACATGAATATCTGCAGTATTTACAACTATTTAACAAAATAAAAATGTTCTACCCATTCAAGATGTAAGATAATTTAAACAGAAAAAAAACTGTACCTAATATAAGAGATTCCCAAAATTGACTAAGTTCAACAAACAAGTAATTTTGTGAAAAATTAAAGAAAGTAAAAATTTTCTCCACAGGCCTTTATGAGCATATGTACAAATGTTCTACCATGCAAATATTTAGTATATGCACAACTGTTCTAACATACACATCTTTAGTACATGTACAACTTGTCTAACATACACATACAACTGTTCTAACATGTACACATCTTTAATACATGTACAACTTGTCTAACATACACATACAACTGATCTAACATGTACACATCTTAAGTACATGTAAAACTGTTCTACATTTTAAACAATAAGTTTGACAGACAAATCATATATTCTACATGTGGATAGGAGGACCAACAGGGGTAAATTAATATATAGAAACATACTTTACTTTTTGCCATTGTGTTGTTTTTCTTCACCTTATAATTTTTTATTGTCTCCTTGGTTGGTATCTTCTGCTGTTTCTTTCACATTATAAAACTATATACCAAATATCAGCATATAACTAATGCCATAAGGGATAATTCTTTGTATCTTTTGCTGTTTCTTTCACATTATAAATCTATATACCAAATATCAGCATATAACTAATGCCATAAGGGATAATTCTTTGTATCTTCTGCCCTTTCTTTCACATTATAAATCTATATACCAAATATCAGCATATAACTAATGCCATAAGGGATAATTCTTTGTATCTTTTGCTGTTTCTTTCACATTATAAATCTATATACCAAATATCAGCATATAACTAATGCCATAAGAGATAATTATTTGTATCTTCTGCTGTTTCTTTCACATTATAAATCTTTATACCAAATATCAGCATATAACTAATGCCATAAGAGATAATTCTTTGTATCTTCTGCCCTTTCTTTCACATTATAAAACTATATACCAAATATCAGCATATAACTAATGCCATAAGGGATAATTCTTTGTATCTTCTGCTGTTTCTTTCACATTAAAAATCTATATACCAAATATCAGCATATAACTAATGCCATAAGGGATAATTCTTTGTATCTTCTGCCCTTTCTTTCACATTATAAATCTTTATACCAAATATCAGCATATAACTAATGCCATAAGGGATAATTCTTTGTATCTTTTGCTGTTTCTTTCACATTATAATCCTATATACCAAATATCAGCATATAACTAATGCCTTAAGGGATAATTCTTTGTATCTTCTGCCCTTTCTTTCACATTATAAATCTTTATACCAAATATCAGCATATAACTAATGCCATAAGGGATAATTCTTCGTATCTTCTGCCCTTTCTTTCACATTATAAATCTATATACCAAATATCAGCATATAACTAATGCCATAAGAGATAATTCTTTGTATCTTCTGCCCTTTCTTTCACATTTATAAAACTATATACCAAATATCAGCATATAACTAATGCCATAAGGGATAATTCTTTGTAGCTTCTGCCCTTTCTTTCACATTATAAATCTATATACCAAATATCAGCATATAACTAATGCCATAAGAGATAATTCTTTGTATCTTCTGCCCTTTCTTTCACATTATAAAACTATACCAAATATCAGCATATAACTAATGCCATAAGGGATAATTCTTTGTATCTTTTGCTGTTTCTTTCACATTATAAATCTATATACCAAATATCAGCATATAACTAATGCCATAAGAGATAATTATTTGTATCTTCTGCTGTTTCTTTCACATTATAAATCTTTATACCAAATATCAGCATATAACTAATGCCATAAGAGATAATTCTTTGTATCTTCTGCCCTTTCTTTCACATTATAAAACTATATACCAAATATCAGCATATAACTAATGCCATAAGGGATAATTCTTTGTATCTTCTGCTGTTTCTTTCACATTAAAAATCTATATACCAAATATCAGCATATAACTAATGCCATAAGGGATAATTCTTTGTATCTTCTGCCCTTTCTTTCACATTATAAATCTTTATACCAAATATCAGCATATAACTAATGCCATAAGGGATAATTCTTTGTATCTTTTGCTGTTTCTTTCACATTATAAATCTATATACCAAATATCAGCATATAACTAATGCCTTAAGGGATAATTCTTTGTATCTTCTGCCCTTTCTTTCACATTATAAATCTTTATACCAAATATCAGCATATAACTAATGCCATAAGGGATAATTCTTTGTATCTTCTGCCCTTTCTTTCACATTATAAATCTATATACCAAATATCAGCATATAACTAATGCCATAAGAGATAATTCTTTGTATCTTCTGCCCTTTCTTTCACATTTATAAAACTATATACCAAATATCAGCATACAACTAATGCCATAAGGGATAATTCTTTGTAGCTTCTGCCCTTTCTTTCACATTATAAATCTATATACCAAATATCAGCATATAACTAATGCCATAAGAGATAATTCTTTGTATCTTCTGCCCTTTCTTTCACATTATAAAACTATACCAAATATCAGCATATATCTATTGCCATTAGAGATAATCTGGAACAAATTCTAACTACTCATTCTACAATAATAAACCAAATCATACTTTCATGCAATCGTGGTGCCAAATATCAAGACCAAAGCTGTCATTTATAGTTGCTGAGAAAAATGCAACAAAAATTTCTTATTTATACATCAATAAAAGAAAATACAATACATGCATCTTGCAAACTGGAAATAGATAAGTGTCAGATCTGAAAATGTGTCATTAGGTATAGCTTAGCAATATGATCTCTTGGTAACAGAGGTCAAGAAACTCTAATTTATAGTTGCTGTGACGAGAAAGTGGCACATAAATGTGAAGAACATATATATACGTGACCAACAGAAATTAGATAAAGTGATTGATCTGAAAACGTGTCTTGCAGTAAAGCTTACAAATATGAAGGGTGGTATATAATAATTTATTCACCATCAAGTCCAATTACAATATCAACCTCATAGGCAAACTGGTCTCCTGGTAGCATGCTCAATAAAAGGCAACATTAAAATAAGAATTATTGCATCTCCTCGATGAAAGCAGCATTTAGGAGTAATCATAAAGACGGGTTGGCTTGTAGTCTAAACTAACATGTCGGGTAAAGGAACTTGTCTTCAAATTGACTGCCAACTTGTTTGCAAGATTTTGAAATCTTTTTATTTATCATGTTTGTCTCAAATAAAGTACATTTATGTTACACGGATGAAAGGACCAACAAGGTGATTGCAATACAGCCTCCTCTCCTAGAGTGAGGGTTATATATTTCTTGTCTGATATAATGCAGTCATCTAAAAACAAACTATAAAATGGGGATGGTTTAAATATGTGACAAAAAAAAGCAGTAAGCAGTGTAATTTGTATTTTATATATTATTCCTTGATCACCGTAAGCTAATATCTGGAACTTACCATGTATGCATTATTTTCTACAGCAGATAGAGGTAGGCATTTAAAAGAAGGATACAATTTGTTCGATATCTTTTATTTTCAAAATAAAGTAACAATAGATATGAAACAAGTGAAAATTTAAGTATATATATCAAAATAATTTATCATATTAATATTGCACTTAAAAATTTATTGTCATATAACTGTAGAACTGATTATTGCACTTTGAAGTAACATGTAAATTTGGTATAAAGACTTATAAATAAAGCACTCAACATTTAAATACATTTACACTTTGGATATCTTTCTCAATGACTGGTAATATCAATATAAACTCCTATCATTTAAGATTAACATGCCTTTTAGGCTCGGAAAGTAAGAACTTTGAAAAAAAATAATCACATTTTATAAACCTTTCACAGATATATGAATGGTGTTTATTTAATAGTACTATGATTTTGTTGACTCTTACACACCTCTTTCTTTGCTTCCTTATATAATGTTTTCTTTAATTCTTACCAGATTTATCCTTTTCCTGACCCGTTTATTATTTTTATTTAATCAACGTGTGGTTCGTTTGATCTCAGTTATTCATTGATCAAAATTCAATTATGACGTCAAATTTTTTTGCCTTACTCTGAATTTTCTATTGTGACGTCATGAAAAAAGGCGACCATGCCTGATGACATCACATAGAAAGAACACATCTTTTTGCAGATCATTCGAAAAGAAGAATTGAGTCTGTCTGCATATCCTTAAAAAATCATTAGAGAAACAGATTCAACCACCAAATCTTGTGCAATACGATATATATCCACTCTCGACAGTTAAATTTTAAATATTTGAAAATTTAACTGTCTCGAGCAGATAAATATCGTATCACAATCGATACAGTGGTAGAATCTATATAAAACTGGCCATAATATATTTATAAGAATGAGTATCTCATAATTTAGAACCCGTTTGCAGCCTTTGCCACAAGCCAATTTGTATAGAAAGATGAGCATACTGTACCATTACAATTCATTCATGCCTCTAAACATATCAATAAATACTATGAATTACTTAATACTATCACAGTTCATAGATTTAAAGCAATTAGCCTTTTCTCAGTTACAATTTTAGATAAACAAAAAGTAGAAAAACATTACAGTTTCCCTATTTAAATACAGTAATATAATTACTCATATATAATGAGGAAAAAAAACATCCACAGAAAATGAAATCACATTTTTTATTGTGCTAACAGTTTAATGAGAATTTACAATATCCTTACTTGTCATAATTAAATACGCTTTGTCCTGAGATGAAAGTGAAATGAAAAAAAGAGTTAAATTTATCAACATTCTACAAAGCCAATTTAATTTTACCATACACATATATGAGCTCATTCACTATGGTTTTTCACTTGCACTAATTAGAGTTGAGCAGTTAGTATGTATACAGCCAGACAATCTTTAGTGATCAAACATTGTCTGTTCATGATCAGCTTTGTTTTCAACATTTGTTAGGTGGAATAATAAATTAAGCGATTTTTGGGAGGAAAAGAGATCTTAATTAATTTTGAGGTTTTTTTCCTGAAATTGACCTGGTTTTATAATATGAGAGGTTAAAAATTCATGCCTGTTTATGTTCTTTTGAAAAAGAATTACTACTTCTAGACTTTCAAAAAGCTACTACATATTTATATTTAATTATATTCCTTACTGTAGGTAAATATAAAAAAGAAGATGTGGTATGATTGCCAATGAGACATCTCTCCACAAGGGACCAAATAACACAGAAAAAAAGAAATAGAACATTAATATAATGGAATATGACAGCTCTCTCACAAGCAAAAAACCCTAACTGCATGACTGAATGGATAAGGGTCCAATAGGTGGGTATTCACACACAAAAACTGGAAGTAAAATAGCCATTTCTGGGTGAATGAAAAATAAAAAAATAGCTTGCACATATCTTTTTAACCAATTTACTCAAAACGCAGTGAATAGCGAGCTTCAAGAAAGAAAAAAATGTGAATTAAAATGGCAAACACATTGTAAATAAGCCTTTACCATCCAGTATCATGTTGGAAGAATGATATAATATCACATTTACAAACTAATATTTTAAAGATGAATATGATAAATGAAAATAATCACTTGATATGGATTTGTGCAAGCTTGGTATGACAGTGTTAATAGTCCTGATTAGATGAATGACTGCAATTTGTGTAAATTATTTTGATTGGCTTATTTAATGCCAATAAAACAGCATGTTGATATCATGCATGTATGTTTAACAAAATGCTATAACAACACACATCAAAGTACAAAATTAATTCCTTTGAGGAAGTCCGTTAATGTCTTGTTTATATATTTATTTACTTTATCTACCATCTCAATCTTGACATAAAAAGAAATTGATAATTGAATAGTGTGTATTGTTATTCATAGTAATTTTCATATGTAGTTTTCTCCTGTCAATTTTGTCTACTTGTAACATGATTTTTCTCTCTATTCTCTTTGTGTTGTGGTACTAGAACACCACAGTAATCTCCAGGTTGAAGCATTTCTGTCTTATTTCAAATTTCTCCATCTTGATAAAAACAGTTATCTTTCCTTGTTTAGAACCAATAGTTGATAGGGCCAATAATGCTGGTCTGGAACAGAATCAGTAGCACCAAACAGGACAGAACAATGATGGTTATCAAGTAGGCTGGCATAATTGGAATGTGGAATAACTTGGCCTATAATGTACAAATAATTAGATGTATTTATATATATAAAAGCTACTGATATAAAATATTTGTCCAATCTTTCACATACTGTGAAAGTACTTTTATTCGTGGGGTACCAATTTTTGTGGTTTTCGTGGAAGGCTTTTAATATCCACGAATTTAAGTGTCCGACGAAATATAACAACTGTTGTCCAAATCAAGACACAGAAAGATCCCCATGTAAGTTTGACTGCATGCATACTGGCAAATAATCTAGAGAATACATCAAATATCAGCAAACGCACTATGAACTATATATACAACTTGAGACAGGACTTTCTCTTTCAAAAATTTGAATAAATTGCTTCGCCAGGCGCAGCTGGATACAACCGCAGAGGTCCAACCCTGAACAGTTGGGGCAAAAATGGACACAATATTCATGCTTGATACAGGTCTGAATTTGGATTGTAATTAAATATTTGACACATAATAGGTTCCTGACACAGAATTCCTAATTCCTAAACGGTGAGCCATAACCCCCCAAAGCCAAACCTAACCATCCCTTTGTGGTATGGAAACTTGTGGTATAATTTCAGAGAGATCCATACACTTAAACACAAGTTATTGTCTGGAAGTTACAAAAATGCTTATTTTTGGCCCCTAATTCCTTAACTGTTGGTACCATAACCCCCAAAATCAATCCCAACCTTCCTTTTGTGGTATTGAACCTTATGGTAAAATTTCATAGAGATCCATTCACTTAAACTAAAGTTATTGTGCGAAAACCAATGTGTCTTCGGACGACGACGCCAACGTCATACCAATATACAACCGCAAACTAAAACTGTACCACTAATAACTTTTATTTTTCAAGAAAATTTAGTTTTGAGTGATGAAAGTCAGACTTCCGGTAATGATATGTGCTGATGAAGTATTATGTTTTAAATTTTATCTCCTCATAATTTTCATACGAAAAAAAAAATCCTTTTGGGATTGCGCTTTTACTTTTTAAGAATTAATTCTACAATTTAAAGTACATTTTCTAATGTACCTGTTTTTTTTTAGTGACATGTTTATGGCCCAATTAACACCTTTGATGATCTTTAATCTGTTGATCATTCGATCTCGGGTTAATTAGTGTCACCACTTCTGATTAATTACACTTGTGCAACAATTGAAATGTCTACTTAGCAAATTCCTTCAATCAAGACACTTTGTTAGCATAGAGGAATCATTTTATTTCCAAAAGCAATTATTTTATTAAAAATTTGATGAATGCTGTCAATAATAAAAGACGAACAAGTTAGTGAAAAAGAATACTTTATGTTGCAATGTCCCGCAAATCAGTATAAAACAACATATGATTATTTTCAAGGATCTTCGTTTCTGATGGCTTCAAATTCTTCACTCGATTATTTTTCAGAAAACTAAAATCCATGAATTTAAGAACCCACGAACATGTAACTTTCGCTCAAATCACGAAAATTGGTACCCATGAATAAAAGTACTTTCACAGTACAATATTTTGGTTCTTTGTTTCTAACAACAAAAGGCTCCCAGGACCTTGAATCCTAACCTGGTAAACATATACAACGATAAATCATTAGTAACAGTAGCTACGGCAGGGGCATAAAAATTGTTAAAGTAAATTTAGGATGGATAGATGAATTTGTGTTTAATGTCCAGTGGCTAATATAACATGCACATCATGATGAGAACATGTTTATGCAATTTAAATATGAATCATGCTGTGTATTAGACAAACAAGCTGAGCTGAGTAGTAAGTAATTAGTTTATTATAGTGACTTGTGAACATGTATCAATAAATATAACACAATAACAAATTTTGTATAGTCAATGTTTGGACCTATATCTCATCTATTTGACAAATTTAGTAACTTTATGAATATTAATACAAGGCTGTATCATAAGGTAATTCTCTGAAGGAAGACATGACACTTACATATACACATTATTCTGTGTCATAGTTGACCAGTCTTTTCTCTTACTAGTCTTTGCTTTTACTCCTAACCTAAATGCCTGCATGCTTAGAGGAAAAGCATCAAATATAAAATACTTTGGCCTGACAGGGAACAAACCCACAACCTCCCACACTAGAGACAAGCATGCAACCACGAGACATATGAGGGGGTCTCATCAAATTGTAATAGTTTTATCTTGTCTTTTTTTTGTTCAGTCAATTTAGAAAAAGTTATTTTTTAAATCCTACAAACTATATATTATCTTACCCTTAATTTAGTATTTGATACAAAATTCATAAAAGAATCAAGATCCAGCTGTGAACTTCCTTTGTAACCAAATACTCTCATTTCTAATGCAATCTTTATAATCCTACAACATACAGAATTCACTCTGGCTGCCTGAAATAAAACATTTCTGATGTAATCTTTATAATCCTACAAAATACATTTTTTAGTGAAATAATAATGAAAATGATGACATTCTACATTTCAATCTTTGTGTTGTCTGTTTTTTCAGTCCCTTGGTTTCTTCTCTGTTAAAAGTGTATTAAACACAAGTTAACATTTTGGGCTAAAATCACTTATCCTAAGTTGTGATGGTTGTCTCTATATAAATGTCTTACAAAAGCTTGTACATGTATAAAGAAAAAATATTGAAAATGAGATAAAAAAAATGTCCAACTACCTGTAGGTTAAAAATGGCTGGATCACAGGACAGGCAATTCTTTGATTTATTGTTGGTGAATAAGCATTGTTGGGTGTCAACTGTTTCATTGGTTTCTCCCTTTGTTTAAATATTGTACATAATTCAAGAAATCTTACTGGAGGACAAGTTTTTTTTCTTTACTAGTCGTTTTTTTCTAATATTAGTCATCTTCGCTAGCCAAGGGTTACGATTCAGTCCCCTCCTCTCCACCCTTAGCTAATTAAGGTAGAATTTCGGATCCACGAGGTAATGATTTCCCTTGGTCACAGTTGTAACTGGCTGCATCAAATCAAAAAGCGCCTTTAAGATGATCATGTGTAAATGTAGAAAATGTAAATAGACAATAGCCACGTGTTGATTGTGCAAAAAGTATTTACCCCAAAAACATAGGACGATATTTAGTGACAATTTTAAAGTTCAAAATTAACTAATTGAAGTTCCTGGGTAAGTTTCTCAAACAAATGTTGGAATGTCAACGTATAGTTTCGGTTCCTGCTTCACAAAATTTGTAAACACTACACACGACCATTTTACACCTCCACACTGAAGAGAGTTCAAGTGCTGCCATTGGTCAAGAATGATGTAGTCGGAATGGGCGTGACTTTTATCTACTAGCAGATGGTGCAGCATTGTAATCACAAATGTAGGCTTAATCTGCCAAGGGTTGAGAGGAGGGGACTGGATCGTAACCCTTGGCTAGCAAAGATGAATACTAGTAAGCACATTTTTTATCAGAAGTTAAATATTGCAAAGGAGAAGGTTATGATAAGGCCACTTTTTTATCCCCTTGAATTCAAAAAGCAAAAATTGTTATAAGCCTACCAAATGTTCATTAGACATTTGTCTGATAGATACAAGAATTTATAGTTATGAATGTTGCCTTACATATTTGCATTAAGTGTTCAAACTTCTTGAATTTAGTGAAAAATTGTAAACTGCTGAAATAACCTCATTTTGAGGTCTTGACATAAATATTTAGATATGAGCAACAACTTTACTCAAAAAGATATTTGCTACAAAATGTATTTTACACAGAGGTTAAGGTGTGTAAAATATCTTTTGGGGTAAGGCTGTTGCTCATATTCATTTTGTCCGAAAACTGTGCATAAAATAGCCATTTGTTGTCAAATATTTCAATTTCAACATGTTTATGAAGACAAATTGACTTCATAAGTAATTTTTTTGCACTAAAGTGTTCAGATTACATTACCCTATTCATTTATCAATTAAATTAACATAATTTTAAAAGCACAGCATAATTTTACTATTTTTGCAATTTCAGGGGCCAAATAATGGCTTTTATCTTACCTTCTCCTTCTGTTGGATACCGATAAGTTACGTTCTCTCATTATAAATGTATTGTTATATTCATTCATTAGTATTGCCTAATAATCTATTGACTTACCTGAAACAAAGGAAAACACAACATGACAAAAAATACCACTGGAAAAAAAGTCCTATACAGCCAGATCTTTGGTAGGTCATTCTTATTCAGCACTAAAATACTTATACCTGCAAATATCCAGTAAATTAATCACAGTGTCAAGGTTAGTTATTCTTTAAACAAGGTATTTGTATTCTTTATATGTTAATCTTAAATGCATGCAAACTATGTATCAGAATTAAAACCAAGTAACCAAGAAAATTGACATTGTTCTGCATTCTTTTCATGTTTCACAAAATAGACACATGGAAATAAAATAGATCAGTACCATTACGACATGTGTCAGACAGACTGATATACAGAGGAAACATTGTTGATCTATCATGTACAGCTAGTTTAAAAGAAATGTATCAGACAAATATACTCTTTGCATCCAATCTTCATACCAAATATTGTTGGCATACCATGGATAGGAAATGAGGAAGACATCATCTTGAAAATTTAACCTGACCACTCGAACGTGAAATTGACATAAATGTATTTAAAACTGGATATTAAATTAAGGTCAAGACCATGTGACATATAGAATATCATATGTGCTGATATTGTTGAAGAAATATTCTCTATCACATTAATTTAGGACTCAAACTTTAAAATGCAAAGCTCAGGTTCAATATATTGAGTTCTTACCTATAATAGTTAGTTCACAAAATATAACACAAATCAATGATGTCATTCTAGCCATAGGACCATTCAACACACTCAGGTTCTGTCGTACTGATAATACATCCTGAAAACATGTTCAACTGGGGGTTATAAGATGTTTTAAAAAAGAATTTGCATATATAACATAATACACTTTATTTTAGTTTAGTATGTTACTTCCATTTTATATATCGTAAGCAAAAATCATTAGCTGCCAAATTTATAAAGAGAAAATATTTATATTTCTACCATTTAAACTTAAACAGAGTAATGAAATCAATCTCTCCCACAGAACTACAATTTTTAAGAAGTCCCAAAAAATGTCAAATTCGTCAAGACAATCATAACCTGTATTACATGTCCTTATTAATGTTATTCCAAAACTTGGAAATGAACGGACTAGCCCTGAAACCATAAAATTACAGAAGTGAGTGCAAATTCTGAGCTGTGATCTGCATTTAAACATGAGGATATCCAAATTGTACCCATTTTGAAAGTTTTTTCACCTACGTTTATTTAAGAAACAGACAAAAGTTTCAACTTTGTGTTTATTTTGTAGATGTATCCTTATTTATTATTTAGTTACACAAATTCAACTTTGAATCCATACTGAAAAATGGGTTTGAATAGACTGCAATAACATCCAGGATTCTGTAATGAGGCATACCTAAATTGCACCCATGCTGAACTACACATCCATAAAAATCGAATCACTGATGTTTTGTTTTAATTCTTCACATTTTTTTAACAATTTGACGATAGTCCATGTGTTTTGTAAGAAATGGATGTCTGTGACATATTTTAATTTCTAATTTTTAAAAGTAGACTTTTTGTAGACATTGCATGCAACCTTTCCGTAAATTTTACTTCTTTCACTGGAGAATTCATCTGTTCACTTTAAAATAGTTTAGTCTTCTAGAAAACCTATAAAATTTCCTCTTCTTTTTTTTCTTCTGCAAATTGGATACTGTGATGATAGCAGAAGACAGTTTTTTTTTAGATTGAGTACATTGAAGATAACAAAATCTCCTGGCAAATGATGGGTGGTGGAAATGTTCAACATTTGGTTCAAAGGACTTCATGTTAAAACATAAATTGCGCCCAAATTTCAGTCTTTGATTAGCTACTGTTACCTTGGCCTTGAAATATTGACCCAAAAATCAATAGGGACTTCCAAATCCCAAGGGGCATTACTACACCAACAAACCAAGTTTGGGAAAAAACTGGACAAATGTTTGATAGGATAACATATGGAAACAAAACTTCTGCCAACATTTCAGTCTATAGATAGATGATGTGACCTTTACCTTTGACCCTAAAATCAATAGGGTTTTTCTTTATCCCATGGAACATTATCAAACTTGGTTTGGTAAAAGTTAAACATATGGTTTAAAAGATAATATTGCAAAGTTTAGTAAAGATATCCATAATGGCTCAAAGATTAGTTCGATTTCATTGCAATTCGGATTTCATTGCAATTCGGTATAAAAAATTGGCAAAGTGAGAGAACTTTATAATATACTGCCAACTCTTTCAGGTAAAACTTAAAATTGATTTCATTAAATGTCATCATACCTTCATAGCATATCTAAATGATTTTTACCTTCATGGCATTCCTAAGATCTGAAGACTTTTCTTGCAACCTAAGTGCCAGTCCACGTATATAGAATAACATCATCTCACATTGTGTGACATAATTAGCTACCACAGCCAATGACACAGAATTCAACACCATTGTTCCTAACAGTTCTATACTAAATAACACCCAGTGTACTGTTTTACTGGAAAAAAAGAGACTCCCATTAATAAATGTTATAAATAAACTGTTAACATAGAGATATACCTCGCCTATTGGCATAAAATTCAGGAAAAAACAATTTTATGGACAGCAACATTGCCTATTAATTCAGACACTGGACCATGATCTAGTGGGCAGGGCCTGAAAATGGTTGACAAACTGAGATGTACAGACAGTAATGTAACTTTATAGAAAATATTGTTGTCTATTGTAAGTAGTTCCTATCAATATGACTTATAAAGCAGAACACTTAACATTGAAAATTGCTAATTAATTCAGTCACTGGACCATGTCCTAGGGGTCAGGGCCTCAAAATAGTCATCAAACTGATATGTACTGATAGTAATGCAACTTTATATTGAATATCACTGATCTATTACAAGTTGTTCCTATCAAATTAACTTAAGCAGAAAACTAAACAATTGTTGACGCCGTCGTAGCCTGAAAAGCAATCCCTATGTCTTGCTTTCCGTGACTTTCGTCACAGGCGTGACAAAAACACATGCGTAAGAAAATATAATTATTCATATTCTAACATGAGCTGTTGTTAGTGTTAAATGGAGTGTGATGGTGAGAGATTTGGACACTGAACAGCACAAGTGTATGTCATCATAATAAATTTTCTACATACATTTTGAAAATGGTGTCATATCCAGAAATTAATTCCAAAATAGCATGTTATACATAGATTAAGATTTTGTTAAAATCCTACCTATATAAAATCATAGCACAAAAATTGTTTCTCAAAATTGTGCTTTAAAAAAAAGTTTTACTGCAAATTTTTGTTTCCCAATAAAAAATTATTTTTTCACTTTTCACGAGGAAACTGCATATTTTTACAAGAAGATATGAATACAGATACATTTATAATTGAGATACAGTATTCTTTACCAATATATAATAGTTTAATTGAATTCTTACCCTGTGGCTTGAAAAAAAATCAACTTAGGAAAATCGAATGCCCATTCATACATTCCTTGTAAAATAAGTGTGCTCAAAACCCATAATGCTCCTAAAACTTGGAATAATCTGAAATAGCAGAGTAAAATAGTATGGAATATTTGTATGCATAAAAAATTATATAAAACCATTGAAGTTGCTTACAAGCATGTCATTTGGACTCTAGCAATCATACCAAATCTTCTTATTTTATATTACATTCAATGTAATTATATAACTTATATTTTTACATTTAAAATACTTCTGAGAATAGTGTGTACTACATATTAAATATAAAATAATGATGCAAATGTCTGTGCACATGATACAAATATAGGTTTAAGGCTGGGGGATAATTGTGCATCAACATATTAGGGTTCAAAAAGGAATTTGTTCTAGAAAAAAGTTTCCACCATAATTGCAAACCATTCTTTTCAAAATCATTTAATGTTTCTTTCTCTTACAATTAATCAAAGACAATTTATGCTGTTTACTAAATTTGACTGTTTATTCTGAAGATGTTAGTTACTTCCCACCAAGCTTGTGTTTATTCTGAAGATGTTAGTTACTTCCCACCAAGCTTGTGTTTATTCTGAAGATGTTAGTTACTTCCCACCAAGCTTGTGTTTATTCTGAAGATGTTAGTTACTTCCCACCAAGCTTGTGTTTATTCTGAAGATGTTAGTTACTTCCCACCAAGCTTGTGTTTATTCTGAAGATGTTAGTTACTTCCCACCAAGCTTGTGTTTATTCTGAAGATGTTAGTTACTTCCCACCAAGCTTGTGTTTATTCTGAAGTTGCTAGTTACTTCCCACCAAGCTTGTGTTTATTCTGAAGATGTTAGTTACTTCCCACCAAGCTTGTGTTTATTCTGAAGATGTTAGTTACTTCCCACCAAGCTTGTGTTTATTCTGAAGTTGTTAGTTACTTCCCACCAAGCTTGTGTTTATTCTGAAGTTGTTAGTTACTTCCCACCAAGCTTGTGTTTATTCTGAAGTTGCTAGTTACTTCCCACCAAGCTTGTGTTTATTCTGAAGATGTTAGTTACTTCCCACCAAGCTTGTGTTATTCTGAAGATGTTAGTTACTTCCCACCAAGCTTGTGTTTTGTTAACAACTTATACATATTGATACCATGTCAACAGAAGAAATTAAACAATTCAAATAAAGATATGCCTTGACAGAAAGTTCTTTATCATGTGTCATGCTTCAGCATGGTAAAACCTAAACCCTTGTAAATACTCGTTTTGCACGGCAAAATTATCAGGAGCAGTTCAAATCTCCTTTGTTGTTCTACTGGTAATTTTGCAAAACTAACCAAAAAGTGTTCAATTTGTTCCTGTCATGAATAAGTATTATTATATAGCATGTATAGATAATGATTTCTCTAATTTTTGTGCTATTTTCACATTTCTTGATCGGTGTGAGAAAAATATTTCTCCTCACTAGTGAAATATCTGTTCTCTGCAAATGATTGGTCGAAATTTAATTATGACGTCAAATTTTCTTGATTTCTTCTGAATTTTCCTATTGTGACGTTATAAAAAAAGGCGACAATGCCTGATGATGTCACACATAAAGAACACAACTTTCTGCAAATCTTTGAAAAGGAAGGATAAAAATCATTAGAGAAACAGATGCCACCACTGTAACTCGTTTATTACGATATTTCTCCACTCTCAACAGTTAAATTTTAATTATTTAAAAAGCTCAGCAAGCCTCGTGCTTTAAATATTAAAATTTAACTGTCTCGAGTGGAGAAATATCGTAACACACTTGTTGCAGTGGTGAAATCTATATTTATAAGAATTTCCTTGCGAAAAATTCAGATATCTCACATGTGAAATAACTTGTTTATTTTCACCCTCAATACATTTTCTGCATTTTACCTGACCTTCACTTAAGAATTCTAACTGAAGGTTTGCACATTGGTTTTTAAAACTCATTGATTAAGTGTGTCACATTTAAAACAATTTCTTGTTTCACAATAATTGCCAAATCTGCATCAATTTTCTCGAAAAGCTGATCTGCCATTTTGAAAACTGTGTGCAATACACATATATTCACATGCCAGAAAAGTATAGTGAAATCGACAATACATAAAGTGAATTCATTGGCAGTAACACAGAAAAGACTTTTGATTGGTTGATTGTTGGTTGCTTAACGTCCTAAAAAGAGTTTTGATGTTCTGTTACTACATTATAAAAAGTATAACTAATCACCATATTAGATAAATAATAAGACCACTTGTGAACAAAAGACCGCTGTGGATTAAACTTGTGCTGCACAATCGTTTAATCCATGCATTTTTGGGTCACACGTCTTATTTTTTATATTCAAATATGGCAATTAGTTATATCATAAACATTTGCCATTCTAGATTAGATGTACAAAAACCAAAGAATCATATTATGTGCATGTATCTGTAATTAATGCCATGTCTATAGAAAAAGATATTTATCTATGTAAACTAGCATCCTATATATTACAAGGATCCACATTGTTACTCTTACCTTAGTTTTTTTATCATTCTATGTTGAGATGATGCTCTGTTTGATAAGGGTGTGGCCTGTAAAAATACCTGTAAGATAGATTGCAAATATATACATGAAGTTAACCGCAAGTCATCTAGGCCTTCATTTTTTTTTTTTTTTTTAATCAGAAGACATTTTTAACCCTTACCATGTTGGACTGTAATATTACTGTCTTACCCAAAACACGAACTTGGAAAATTGAATTCACATAAACTGGTTTTTCTGGAGGGGTGGACTTCCCTTCTGTGTCTAACACACGCAGTTCAGAAGCCTAAAACTTCCAAAAATAGTTTAGACCCACTGGAATAAAACTACTGATCATGTTTATTATTGAAATACACTTAGTGAACAACTACTTTCGGTTGCAGGTCCAGTTGAAGCCAAAAATCGAGAAATTCCGTTTTTTTTGTGTTAATGTCCTTCTTTAGACTGCTGTACACAAATCACTTTCACTCGACCTAAACTTTGTTTTGGTTTGTGTGTTTACTGGGGTCCATTCTACATGCAGACTACAGTAAGATACATCTATTTGCATCCCTCTGTCTTCCTGGTCAAGAAATAGGACGAAAAATTGTCAAAATTGACACTTTTTTTCACCTGATGACCAACTCTGGGGCAAAAGAGTTGTATCAAAATTCAGCTACTGGTTAAGAAAGTATTGACTGATTTTTTCACCTTCCCCAAACTATAAAGATATAGAAAAATCAATGTTTTGCCATTGGAAAGCAAGTATTTTCTTACAAGGATGCCTTGTCAAGAAAAAAATGAAAAAGTATCATTATTTTTTTGGTTTAAAAAAACTAGTGCCACTCAAGTGTTCTGTTAGTTATGCTGATCAAATATTACAGACCTGTGTTAACAATAAAAAGTTCTTAGTATATCAGTGACATACAAATCTAGACATTATATAAAATATAACATTCAGGTTAAACACACCCAAATTAATTCAAGCACTTATACTTTCAAAACTTTGTTCTAATATTGTTTTGCTACTCTTACAAAAAAATAACCTACTATGAAGGAATTTTGTTTTGCTCAATTTCAGTCAATTCATTAATGTTAACATTAAAAAATGTTGTATTCACCACACAATATTTTTTTTTTTAGGTAATTGAACTAGAATTATTGATCAATTTAGTGGCTATTGAAGATGATTATAAAGTTATTAAGAGACATATAATGAGTTCCTAAAAAAACCAAAATCTCCCATTTTTTACATGTCCGAACTAAAAATACTACAAGTGCTCTCATTGGTCAAGAATAATGTAGTATCAGTTTTGTTGCTTCTTTCTACCAGTAGATGGTGCAGCGTTGTATTAAAAAATTTGGCTTAATCTGCCAAGGGTGGAGAGACGGGGACTGGGTCATAACCCTTGGCTAGCGAAGATGTGTACAAATAAACAAGGGTTAACCTATATACCCATGTTTCAATCATTGTGAGGCAAATAAATTGATCATAACTAATGCTGACCTTCTCCATAATGGCATATAACTGTTCATTTTCGTGTATCCTGTAATGTACAAAGCCCATGACAAAGGCAACGAAATGTAAAATATTTGGTATAACATATGTTGTGATGACATGTTCACATGCCTCTGGTGGCAGGCTTCGCTTGGAATGGCTGAGATTCTGTAGTATCAGGTCTGAAGGACTGTATGTAGCTAATGGTTGATACTCATGTGTGGAATTTACAGATATAGTTGTTATTGCTGCTGTTGATGTCTGTAATATCTAAAACAAAAATGAAAATTCATAATTACCGACATAAACAACAATTTTTTCAATTATTTTGACTGCATTCAATAAACGTATTTACATTTTTGGTATTTAGCTATATTTTGCCTCCGAATGACCTTAGATATATTCCCAATCACCTTTTGACGTCAGGCAACAATCAATTTTTAATTGTGACGTCAAATGTTTTGAATTATGATGTCAAAGTTTACGGGAACCTGTGTGATTTTACGTAATGGCGGACAAATTTGCATACAAGTGTAAATACGTCTATATTCAAATGATTTTCTAGAACTTATAACACTAATGCATATATATATGTCAAACCTAACATATTAATATTTATTTGTTCTTCAATTTCATCAATACATGATTTTTTTTAATTTTTCAGCAAAAATGATTGATTGTGAATTGTTGGTTGCTTAACATCCAGCAGCAAATAGTTCATGCATTTTCAGGACAATCAGCAAAAATGAAGCTGTCAGTATACCAGATAATTCTGTCATTCTATAACTGATCTAATTGATTACAATGATATAAGGGTAAGAATTGCCTTTATCATCAATCACCAAAGGGCTTATTGCATTTGCAACAAATTAAAAAAAATCTAAATTTGCATTTGCTCCATCTTCAAATTACCTAGCCTTGAAGTCATTAACATTTTGATTTTTGTACTCACAGAAATCAACTAATTAAAATACTGGATTTGGTGTTTCGAGCACTAATTGTGTACTCCAAGTACTGAGCAAAGTTTTATGACTGAGAGCCCAGGTGAGATCATACTAATTTTAGATGATCAACTGTTAATCTTAAGACAGCTTGTTAATGGTGTGTAATGAGTTAATGGTCACCATACATGTACATGTATTGACACAATAGAAGAGCTCATTAGCTTAAAACACTTTAATGTGACAGGATTGATGTTTAGCACAATGAAACAAACTGAGGAAAAAAGTAAATAATTACATATATTAGATATTCTTAATCAGCAATAAAAAAGAAATTTGTTCTTGAAAAGTATCTGATGTACATTAGAGGAAAAATTGTATGTCCGAGGTTTAGAGTGAGCATGGAGATATTTGAATAGTTTTCAATGACCTTTCAGTGCTCAAAGAAATATTGATTATTCCTTGCAATCTCCTAGTGTGTGTGTCCTTCCTAAAGCTCACCATCGAAACCAGGCCTTATAATTTGGCACCTCAGACGACATGGTTTCATCTATATAACCTCATCATAAATTATATCTTATCATATTTTATTTCTATTTGTAAATGAGTTCCATAAGTTGATCTACTTTTCTTTATTGAAGAGTTAATAGTGACTTTTCAGATGATCATCTGTGTTTTTGCAGCATACATGCTTTTTATTTTACACTGCATCTAGGACTTCTTACAGTTGTGTACAAAATTATATCACTATGTTTTATTGCCTGAGTAACACTCACACTTTTGGTATCTTTCTTTACATTAAGTTTCCACTGACAGGCAACAATCTCATAGATATAAACATACCACAACAATAGTACAATAAATACTGGATAAACAGTGTTCAAGAACGAGTACACTTTGCTGCCTGAGTTAATAGACTCACGACCAAAACCTCGCCATCCTATCTGAAACAATAAATACTATACATAAGTACAGACAAGACATTATTATTACAAGGACTTAACCAATCGAATCTGAAATATTATAAAGAAATAATTACTTTACATGCATATGTTCTGGAAGGAATATCCTTGACTGATAAAAAATCATAGGTTTGTAAAATTGAAAATTATGAATAATTTGTTTCTTTTCTTTTCGACAAGAGTGCACACGCTGAAATGTCTCGCCTTCTCTATTAATCATTGATATTATGTTGATAGTCCTAAATATAAAGCTTTATTACAACTGTCACATAAACTTAACATTAACCAAGTAAACTAAACATTGACCAATGAACCATGAAAATGAGGTCAAGGTCAGATGAACCATGCTAGGCAGGCATGTATAGCTAACAATTCTTCCATACAACAAATATAGTTGACCTATTGCTTATAGTTTAAGAAAAACAGACCAAAACACAAAAACTTAACACTGAGCAATGAACCTTGAAAATGAGGTCAAGGTCAAATAAAACCTGTGTGACTGACATATAGATCATAAAATATTTCCATACACCAAATATAGTTGAACTATTGCATATAGTATTAGAAAAAAAGACCAAAACTCAAAAACTTAACTTTGACCACTGATCCATGAAAATGAGGTCAAGGTCAGATGACACCTGCCAGCTAGACATGTACACCTTACAATCATTCCTTACACCAAATATAGTAGACCTATTGCATACAGTATAAGAAAAACAGACCAAAACACCAAAACTTAACACTGAGCAATGAACCTTGAAAATGAGGTCAAGGTCAAATAAAACCTGCGTGACTGACATATAGATCACAAAATATTTCCATACACCAAATATAGTTGAACTATTGCATATAGTATTAGAAAAAAAGACCAAAACTCAAAAACTTAACTTTGACCACTGAACCATGAAAATGAGGTCAAGGTCAGATGACACCTGCCAGCTAGACATGTACACCTTACAATCATTCCATACACCATTTATAGTTGACCTATTGCATATAGTATTAGAAAAAAAGACCAAAACTCAAAAACTTAACTTTGACCACTGAACCATGAAAATGAGGTCAAGGTCACATGACACCTACCAGTTGGACATGTACACCTTACAATCATTCCATATACTAAATATAGTAGACCTACTGCTTATAGTATCTGATATATGGACTTGACCACGAAAACTTAACCTTGTTCACTGATCCATGAAATGAGGTCGAGGTCAAATGAAAATTGTCTGATGGGCATGAGGACCTTGCAAGGTACGCACATACTAAATATAGTTATCCTATTACTCATAATAAGAAAGAAATTAACATTACAAAAAATGTTGACTTTTTTTTCAAGTAGTCACTAAACCATGAAAATGAGGTCAAGGACATTGGACATATGACAGACGGAAACTTCGTAACATAAGGCATCTATATACAAAGTATGAAGCATCCAGGTCTTCTAGCTTCTAAAATATAAAGCTTTTAAGAAGTTAGCTAACGCCGCTGCCAGATCACTATCCCTATGTCGAGCTTTCTGCGACAAAAGTCGCAGGCTCGACAATAACATGTAATAATATGCTACCATATAAATTTTTATTACTAATCATTAACATGATGCTTTTGAATCTAGTTTATGGCAATGGAAACCTGAACAAATGTGCTACATGTATTGTGGTGGAGACTTGAATACATGTATCAATGGTGATGGATTAACTTGAATACATGTATCAATGGTGAAGGATTAACTTGAATACATGTATCAATGGTGATGGATTAACTTGAATACATGTATCAATGGTGATGGATTAACTTGAATACATGTATCAATGGTGATAGATTAACTTGAATACATGTATCAATGGTGATGGATTAACTTGAATACATTTACTATTGTGATGGAAACTTGAATACATGTACTATTAAGATGGAAACTTATATACATGAACTATTGGTGATGGAAACTTGAATACATGTACATGGTGATGGAAACTTGAATACATGTACTATTGGTGATGGAAACTTCAATACATGTACTTTTGGTGATGGAAACTTCAATACATATACTATTGGTGATGGAAACTTGAATTCATGTACTATTGGTGATGGAAACTTGAATACATGTCCTATTGGTGATGGGAACTTGAATACATGTACATGGTGATGGAAACTTGAATACATAAAATTGAGAATGGAAATGGGGAATGTGTCAAAGACACAACAACCCGCCAATAGAACAGACAACAGCAGAAGGTCACCAACAGGTCTTCAAAGCAGCGAGAAATTCCCGCACCCGGAGGCGTCCTTCAGCTGGCCCCTTAACAAATATATATACTAGTTCAGTGATATTGAACGCCATACTAAACTCCAAATTGTACACAAGAAACTAAAATTAAAAATAATACAAGACTAACAAAGGCTAGAGGCTCCTGACTTGGGACAGGCGCAAAAATGCGGCGGGGTTAAACATGTTTATGAGATCTCAACCCTCCCCCTATACCTCTAGCCAATGTAGAAAAGTAAACGCATAACAATACGCACATTAAAATTCAGTTCAAGAGAAGTCCGAGTCATGTACTATTGGTGATGGAAACTTCAATACATGTACTTTTGGTGATGGAAACTTGAATATATTGGAAACTTGAATACATGTACTATTGGTGATGGAAACTTGAATACATGTCCTATTGGTGATGGGAACTTGAATACATGTACTATTGGTGATTGAAACTTGAATACTTGAAATTTTGGTGATGGAAACTTGAATAAATGTACTATTGGCAATGGAAACTTGAATACATGAACTATTGGTGATGGAAACTTGAATACATGTACTATTGGTGATGGAAACCTGAATACATGTACTTTTGCAATGGAAACTTGAATACATGTACTATTGGCAATGGAAATTTGAAAACATGTACTATTGGTGATGGAAGTTTGAATACATGTACTATTGGTGATTGAAACTTGAATACTTGAACTTTTGGTGATGGAAACTTGAATACATGTACTATTGGTGGTGATAATTTGAGTACATGTACAATTGTCATGATTGTGATGGAAACTTCAATACACATGTACTATTGGCAATGGAAATTTGAAAACATGTACTGTTGTGATGGAAATTTGAATACATGTACTATTGGTGATTGAAATTTGAATACTTGAACTTTTAGTACTGGAAACTTCAATACATGTACTATTGGGGATGGAAACAAGAATACATGTACAATTGGTGATGGAAACTTGAATACATGTACTATTGGTAATGGAAACCTGAATACATGTTCTACTGGTGATGTAAACTTGAATACATGTCCTATTCGTGATGGAAACTTCAATACATGTACTTTTGGTGATGGAAACTTCAATACATGTACTATTGGTGATGGAAAATTGAATACATGTCCTACATGTCTTATTGGTGATGGGAACTTGATTACATGTACTATTGGCGAAGGAAACTTGAATACATGTCCTACATGTTTAATTGGTGATGGGAACTTGAATACATGTACTATTGGTGATGGAAACATGAATACATGTACTATTGGTGATGGAAACCTTAACACATGTTCTATTGGTGATGTAAACTTGAATACATGTCCTATTTGTGATGGAAACTTCAATACATATACTTTTGGTGATGGAAACTTCAATACATACACTTTTGGTGATGGAAACTTAAATACATGTCCTACATGTCTTATTGGTGATGGGAACTTGAATACATGTACTATTGGTGAAGGAAACTTGAATACATGTACTTTTGTGATGGAAACTTGAATACATGTACTATTGGTGGTGATAATTTGAGTACATGTACAATTGTCATGATTGTGATGGAAACTTCAATACACATGTACTATTGGCAATGGAAATTTGAAAACATGTACTATTGTGATGGAAATTTGAATACATGTACTATTGGTGATTGAAATTTGAATACTTGAACTTTTGGTGCTGGAAACTTCAATACATGTACTATTGGGGATGGAAACTTTGAATACATATACTATTGGTGATGGAAACTTGAATACATGCACTATTGGTGATGGAAACTTGAATACATGTACTATTGTGATGGAAATTTGAATACTTGTTCTATTGGCAACGGAAACTTGAATACATTTACTATTGGTGATGGAAACTTGAAGAGGTTTCAAAGCTGCATAAAAGAGGAAGTAATCTGCAAGTTTCTATCTTAACCAGGTGTCATTTAAGTAAACTTTCTTGACATTAAACAAAGAAATAATCAAATCCTATTTTAAGACACATACAGAAAAAAGATAAGAAACTATAAAGAAAGACTTCCGTTAACTCTCAACTCAGACATGCCTTACAGGACAAGTAAAACCTTACTTTTGAGTATCATATCTTTTCTCTGCCTAGTCACAAGTTACAAATTTCTTATAATCTTTACACCTACTCACTAACAGAAGAAGTCTCCAATAAGGTCTCAGAATTTGTTGCTTACAGCGTCGTAGTGTTGTAGTAGTGAGATTTAAACTGTCTTCCCCATCCAAATCTGCAATCTGTCATAACAAAGAGGCAAATATCATTATAACACACATCTTTTGTTTCCTTTAACTGTCTCATTTCATAATTAAACCATGGACACAATACTTAATATTGTGACATAATTAATGTTAATTACTCTACCTTACATGTCTGCAAGGTGGTCTTGACACACAATTTGAATCTTTTCATTTTTTTACAAGGATATTGGAATGTACTAATAGTTATGTTAAGCTGCTACCCAAGAAAGGTACATTTTCTTATGCAAAAGTGACTAAAGCCCTCAAAATCCTAGCTTAAACCCTGACTGAATTTAACTGTAATTTTAAAAGGGTAATTTATTCTATGAGTGAACTAATTGATAACATGTATCTACAGAATCTTGTAAGTAAGTTTCTTTGATTATCAGGATTTCAGCTGTTAAAATTGAACGGGAGTATGGGAAGCCACAAATATTAGTTCAAAATATACCTGTATTTGCTGGATTTCTATTTCATAGAAATTTCCAGAATTTGTGTCTTTTGACACTTATCTAAAATCTGATTTTATTACAATAATTAAATGTCAGGAATAAAACCTCTAACATCCTAGTTTCTTATTTCCTTTGAGGGAATTTCTGTTGATGGTAGATCGTTGGTAATCTGTTTAATTTCATAATTTTTCCTGACTACAGGCAACTCAATAAACCTTATCACTATATTTGACAACCAATATATGTTATCATAGACATTCCAGTAAATTGTTGTGTCACAAATCACATCATAAAAGTGAAAGCTGTATAACATCAATGGGTAAGGTGTAGTAGAATCCACAATAGCAAAAAGGTCCATACCGGTACTTGACATCTATATTTTAGGCTTTTGTATATATTGCTGCAGACCTCAATATGTCTTTTTTTAAAATTCAGTGTGTTGTTGGATTGCTGTATCATTAACAACTAGAGGCTCTCAAGAGCCTGTGTCACTCACCTGACTCTACTTTGGTTTTAGAAATCATGTAAAGATAGATAAAAATCATAACAGATACCCAAATAATGATTGAGGCCAAATTTTGATTAATATTGGTCCCGTTATTTAATAAAATATCCAGGTGGCCATCTTGAACAGTAAATCGGCAACAAAGTAGCAACATTTGGTCAGCACTTCATAAGGAACATTCATGCCATGTTTGGTTTCATTCCATTCAGTGGTACTCTAAAAGAAGACATTTGTATGTATTTCCCATAGGGTCCTATGTTAAACTAAGCCCCCGCCCCCCCCCCCCCTAGCGGCCATCTTGGATGATGGATCGACTGCAAAGTAACAACACTTGGTCAGCAACTCATAAGGAACATTCATGCCATGTTTGGTTCAATTCCATTCAGTGGTTCTCTAAAAGAAGACAATTGTATGTATTTCCCATAGGGTCCTATGTTTAACTAAGTCCCCCGCTGTCGGCCATCTTGGATGATGGATCGGCTGCAAAGTAACAACACTTGGTCAACATCTCATAAGGAATATTCATGCCATGTTTGGTTCCATTCCATTTATTGGTACTCTAAAAGAAGACATTTGTATGTATTTCCCATAGGGTCCTATGTTAAACTAAGCCCCCCCCCCCTAGCGGCCATCTTGGATGATGGATCGACTGCAAAGTAACAACACTTGGTCAGCAACTCATAAGGAACATTCATGCCATGTTTGGTTCCATTCCATTTATTGGTTCTCTAAAAGAAGACATTTTTATGTATTTCCCAAAGGGTCCTATGTAAAACTAAGTCCCCCGCTGGCGGCCATCTTGGATGATGGATCAGCTACAAAGTAACAACACTTGGTCAGCATCTCATAAGGAACATTCATGCCATGTTTGGTTCAATTCCATTCAGTGGTTCTCTAAAAGAAGACAATTGTATGTATTTCCCATAGGGTCCTATGTTTAACTAAGTCCCCCGCTGTCGGCCATCTTGGATGATGGATCGGCTGCAAAGTAACAACACTTGGTCAACATCTCATAAGGAACATTCATGCCATGTTTGGTTCCATTCCATTTATTGGTACTCTAAAAGAAGACATTTGTATGTATTTCCCATGGTCCTATGTTAAACTAAGCCCCCCCCCCCCCCCCCCCCCCCCTAGCGGCCATCTTGGATGATGGATCGACTGCAAAGTAACAACACTTGGTCAGCAACTCATAAGGAACATTCATGCCATGTTTGGTTCAATTCCATTCAGTGGTTCTCTAAAAGAAGACAATTGTATGTATTTCCCATAGGGTCCTATGTTTAACTAAGTCCCCCGCTGTCGGCCATCTTGGATGATGGATCGGCTGCAAAGTAACAACACTTGGTCAACATCTCATAAGGAACATTCATGCCATGTTTGGTTCCATTCCATTTATTGGTTTTCTAAAAGAAGACATTTTTATGTATTTCCCAAAGGGTCCTATGTAAAACTAAGTCCCCCGTTGGCGGCCATCTTGGATGATGGATCAGCTACAAAGTAACAACACTTGGTCAGCATCTCATAAGGAAGATTCATGCCATGTTTAGTTTCATTCCATTCAGTGGTTCTCTAAAAGAAGACATTTGTATGTATTTCCCATAGGTCCTTTGTTAAACTAAATCCCCTGCTGTCGGCCATCTTGGATGATGGACCGACTGCAAAGTAACAACACTTGGTCAGCACCTCATAAGGAACATTCATGCCATGTTTGGTTTCATTCCATTCAGTGGTTCTCTAAAAGAAGACATTTGTATGTATTTCTCATAGGGTCCTATGTTAAACTAAGCCCCCCCCCCCTAGCGGCCATCTTGGATGATGGACCGACTGCAAAGTAACAACACTTGGTCAGCATCTCATAAGGAACATTCATGCCATGTTTGGTTCCATTCCATTCAGTGGTTCTCTAAAAGAAGACATTTGTATGTATTTCCCATAGGGTCCTATGTTAAACTAAGTCCCCCGCTGGCGGCCATCTTGGATGATGGATCGGCTACAAAGTAACAAGCTACAAAGTAACAACACTTGGTGAGCACCTCATAAGGAACATTCATGCCATGTTTGGTTTTATTCCATTCAGTGGTTCTCTAAAAGAAGTCATTTGTATGCATTTCCCATAGGGTCCTATGTTAAACTAAGTCCCCCGCTGGCGGCCATCTTGGATGATGGATCGGCTACAAAGTAACAAGCTACAAAGTAACAACACTTGGTGAGCACCTCATAAGGAACATTCATGCCATGTTTGGTTTTATTCCATTCAGTGGTTCTCTAAAAGAAGTCATTTTTATGTATTTCCCATAGGGTCCTATGTTTAACTAAGTCCCCCGCTGGCGGCCATCTTGGATGATGGATCAGCTACAAAGTAACAACACTTGGTCAGCACCTCATAAGGAACATTCATGCTATGTTTGGTTTCATTCCATTCAGTGGTTCTCTAAAAGAAGACATTTGTATGTATTTCCCATAGGGTCCTATGTTAAACTAAGTCCCCCGCTGGCGGCCATCTTGGATGATGGATCGGCTACAAAGTAACAAGCTACAAAGTAACAACACTTGGTGAGCACCTCATAAGGAACATTCATGCCATGTTTGGTTTTATTCCATTCAGTGGTTCTCTAAAAGAAGTCATTTGTATGCATTTCCCATAGGGTCCTATGTTAAACTAAGTCCCCCGCTGGCGGCCATCTTGGATGATGGATCGGCTACAAAGTAACAAGCTACAAAGTAACAACACTTGGTGAGCACCTCATAAGGAACATTCATGCCATGTTTGGTTTCATTCCATTCAGTGGTTCTCTAAAAGAAGTCATTTGTATGCATTTCCCATAGGGTCCTATGTTAAACTAAGTCCCCCACTGGCGGCCATCTTGGATGATGGATCGGCTACAAAGTAACAACACTTGGTCAGCACCTCATAAGGAACATTCATGCCATGTTTGGTTTTATTCCATTCAGTGGTTCTCTAAAAGAAGTCATTTGTATGCATTTCCCATAGGGTCCTATGTTAAACTAAGTCCCCCGCTGGCGGCCATCTTGGATGATGGATCGGCTACAAAGTAACAAGCTACAAAGTAACAACACTTGGTGAGCACCTCATAAGGAACATTCATGCCATGTTTGGTTTCATTCCATTCAGTGGTTCTCTAAAAGAAGTCATTTGTATGCATTTCCCATAGGGTCCTATGTTAAACTAAGTCCCCCGCTGGCGGCCATCTTGGATGATGGATCGGCTACAAAGTAACAACACTTGGTCAGCACCTCATAAGGAACATTCATGCCATGTTTGGTTTCATTCCATTCAGTGGTTCTCTAGAAGAAGTTCAAAATGTAAAAAGTTAACGCAGACGACGCCGGACGACGGACGCCAAGTGATGAGAAAAGCTCCAGGCGAGCTAAAAACCCACATATTTATTATTAACATCAACAAAACGTGACCAAACTTTTTTTTACTGTCAGAGGACCTAAGTAGTTGTTTCAGACAAATAAATACTACACATAGGCTACTGTATCCCTAAAGATGTTTAACTGTGTAGTGTTATTGCTTGTAAAAAGATGAAATATGAGGATCTGGATAGGGTTTCTCCATTTCTGTATTCTTTATTTTTTCAGGCCATTTTGCTTTTTTCTTTATTTGTTTTGAATATTATTCTTTATTCTTTATATTTCAGCACCCCATCATTCTCTATTGTTTTCTTTTCAGGCCAATTTTTCTCTATTTTTTATATTTTTTAACCTTTATCATGTTTATTTGCACTCTTTGCCCATTATTCTCTATTTTGTAAACCCCATCCAGACCCTGAAAAATTACACATGATAACTGATTTATCAACCTGCCACATTCTTTATGTGCCTCTCAGCATCACAAGTCAGGAGCCTGCAGTTCAGTGTTTGTTGTTGGTTCATGTCTATCATATTATTTTTTCGTAAATTGTTTTATTATAAATTAGGCCATTATTTTCTCAATTGAAATGTTTAACATTTTTCATGTTGGGGCCTTTTATAGCCGACTATAAGGTATGGGTTATTCTCATTGTTGAATGCTGTATGGTTGCCTATAACTGCTTACATCCACTTCATTTGATATTTGTCTTATTGGCAATCATACCACATCTCCTTATTTTTGTACATTGTATATGCCATACTGGACATTATCATAAAACCTTGACAAAGTGGACTCACAAACTTCAATGAAATACATACATCTACTCTAATAGCACTAGTATAGGACTCCCCAGACATGTCGCTGGCATTTTGTAACTCTTGATGTTCACCTGAGTTACTCATATTTATAATCTTTTCCTTTGGTACATCTTTTGTTTCTTCATTAGACAACTGTTCTTCCTAGAAATGAGAAAAATAATTCAATAATTTCCTTACAGCTGATTTTCTGTTAAAAGAAATTCATTGGCATAGGAGGCGGTAAGAGGGGCAATTCCCACAACACTATCAAAAGATGGGGGGGAGGGGTAGTTTGGCAAAACAAAAAAAATGAAAAATGAAAGAGGATAACTTCTATCTTTTAGACTATTATAGAAAAGTTTTCTTGCTTCTCAATTTCAGAACTTTGCAACCATATCCCCCTCTCCCCTACTTTTCAGTCCACTTCTATGCCACTGAAATTTTGTACAAGAAAAAAACAATATGAACTGCCTGCTCACTAATGATACCCCACTATAAATAATTATAAAACAGGAAGTTGAAGAGCAATGAATGTGAACTAACACATCAAAGAGTACAGCATGCAGTAGTTTCAGTTAATTTTGTTGAGTTTACAATGGCTAGAGTGCAAATTAGAAAAAGGGGATTCAAAAGCCAGGGATAGACCCATGAGGACCTCATCCAAACCAGTATTGGACACACCATTACTTATTTTATAATTCAACATGATTACAATTTACATTAATAATCCACTCACCAACATGAAGATTTTCAAGTACTCCTATCCTAGCTGATAATACAACAACTTTACATAAAATCATTTTATGTGATGTACACATAAGATGTCGGACAATTACTTATGTTCATCATATATATACATTGTACAATAATAGTATATCCTTCACAGGATATAAATGTGAAGTCACGTTAGCAGAGTATGACAGTATTTTCATCCTATAAATAATATCACCTTTTACCTTATACAGCTTTTCCCGTTTAAATTATATTATACAGTTATCATATCTTATTAGGAATTTACACATGTAATATATTAAGAAATCAATCAAAGTGGAATACTTTTAATTAAAAGGACCACTCAATTGAAACAACTAGTCTATAGTAATCCATAAAAATATACTTGATATATGATGAGGTTTGTATACCGGAAAAAAGGAAACTAATCATTTTCTATTCGTAGCATGCTTACATGTTAATTAATTCGACAGACCATGACATGAGGCTTTATAAATGTTTTTTTAATCAAAATTCCTTTCGATTAGGGCAAATGTTTAATGGTCATTTTCACAAATTAAATATGATACAATTATTAGGGTCTGAATTAATTATAAAAAAAACCCCATGAGCAATAAGTACATTGTATTTTATTTGTTTGAAATGACAGAAATTAGGGACTGCAAATTGTCCTTGTAGAAAAATTCTTCAATGGAATATATTTTCTAATATTAATTACTCCTCTTTAGAAAAATGTTAGATGCTGATACTGTGTGTAAGCCTTACCTTAAGATTAAAATATGTGACCATTATCTAACCAGTGTTACCAATTTGAATTAAATCACTTATGTACAAAATGTTATTATAAGATGCAAACTCAGTATATGAATATAACATTACAAATCCTCTAGAACACTTCTAAACAATATGATCTCCGTCTATATGACCATAAAACTATAAAGTCATGATCACTATAATGGACTTGTGCATCAATGTATCAAGATAAGATAAACCTAATCCAGAGTAGACTGACGTTAACTAACCAATTAAGACTCTGTCCTAAATAAAGGATGCTTACTACCTATATAGTGTTACCAACCTTAAGGTAATCAGATAATAATAATATACTGATATGGGATCATTTTTATCATTATTTGTCCATGAAGTGCAGATGTCAAATCTGATTGTGTCAGAAGTGTAGAGGATATAATACTTTAATACTATCATGACTTGGAAAACAGCACATAAACATGATAAAGGTGGCGGGGTTACATGTGTCTGTGATCTTGGACAGTAATGTAACAGCACAATACAAGAACAAACTGTAAAAATCAGCTGAAATTGGCTCGACTCAATAGATCGGTACAAAGTACACAAAAAAAAACTTACATAAACAATAGACACAAAGAACCGATATAAGAGTACTTGACTTAATTTATAGCAATATTGTGACATGAAAACTAAAGTTTGCAGTTGAAAATTAAAGTTGATAGTAGCCACAAAAAATATGTAAATATTTTTGAGAATAGTTGCAAGAATAATGGGATATTTAGAAGGCATTTAATCAGAAGCAAATGAAATGGCTCTGTAGAAACACATGCATGGGGATATACTTAGGCATACAAATATGTTGTCCAATATGCCTGTAAAAGTCCATTCCTAACAATAGCTTTAAGTTTGAACTGAGACTACAGTGAGTACTATAACACATAGTCAACTGTTATAGTAGTCTCGGGTTTGAAGTAATTTGATCCAAGCATTCTAGAGCAAGTGCATGACATTTAAAAAAAGCCTTTTATTCATTTGAGGGTTAAAGTCCCATAACTCTGGAATGAAACATCAGATTTTTTTCAAACTGTTTGTTATGTTGACCAATTCAAGCAAACTGAAGTTATGGTACAACAGGTGAAAAATTTACTTCAATCTGACAAATAAAGTCCCATAACTCTGGAATGACAAACAAGAAAATTAAAACAATCAGAAGGGAGCTTCCATTTATCAATCCCAACAATAATGTAAAGTTTTGAGAAATCAATCCAGGCATACTGGAGTTAGTACCACTTATGTGATAAATTGCCTTAATCAATCGGTTTACGTCTCTTAACTGTGAAACTACAAACCAGAAAATAAAAAAAATCTGAAGGTAGCTTCCTTTTATCAATCCCCACAATAATGAAAAGTTTTGAGGAAATAAATCCAGGCATACTGGAGTGCATATTATGTAAAAAGTTGCCTTAATTGAAACAATGAAAGTCCCATAACTTAACAAATGGACACTGGTATACAATAATATGTCCTCAGTCTTTGACGGGCATAAAAAAACAAAAGAAATGACTTTGTCCATGTACATGAATCCTGAATCGGTGACCATCAAGCATAAAATGGAACATTTTAGTAATCAGGTCAAAGCCTTGTAGTTTATCATTCTAAAATGGAAGAATTAAAGTCAAATTAGGTGAATTAAATAATATCTTAACTTGTAATGTTCAACAAAGATCAAGATATCTATAACTTTTAGTACAATAAGGTCACAGTAAAATTACATTCATGTATAAATCATTAAACCCTATGTCTGACACAAAGATCAAACTATTGAAAAATGAGTGATAATTGATAACAAATAAGGTACAAAGTTATATACCATGATATATGTCTGTTTATCATTGTTTATCTAGCAATGTCTAGGTAAGTTAAAAAATCACTTTCCATATAAACAACCATCATATCAAGTATTACCTTTTCAACATATATATAGCAATAGTGATCAATGATAGATTCAGAATTGAGATAAATTTAAAGTGGATTGGTACCAGAAATATACATCTTCATACAATTATTGTTTAAAGATAACTGGATGCACAATCATGACAATATAATCATGATGTTATCATTTCTCTCTGATTATAGAAAACGATGAGAAAAGGAGGCAAATTTGTGTAAAATTGGTCTAAAATGTTGCATATGGAAATAAATTCTCTACATGGTTGTACACCTCAATGGAACATGTCAATTATTTCATTATGTATGAAAAAACACACTAAAAAATTTGGTGATATACAACACTTGATTAACATTTTTGAAATTTAGTTACAAGGCATATTCTCTAGACCTTATTCCTCTATAATATTTAATGTGAGTTAACATCAAGAAGACCTCACATTCATGACAAAACATAGAGACAACTTATTCTTAAAATTGTTAAAACTAGATGTGTTGGAACATGTGGAAAGAAATGAATGGCCCAACTCACAAAAAAAGCTTGAAGCCATTTTTAGGCATTTAGGTGTGGAAATTTGAGAGTGAAAGTCAATAAATCTGTAACTCCTCATAGTAGACTCACATACTAAAAATTAGCTCAATATGTGAAGTCATTTAGATAAAGTCTGTAAAACTGTTATTTTCACGATATTTTTAAAGTCCAAGGCCCTCAATTTCGGCAAAAATCAGTGGAGCGGAACCAAACATAGTCTCAATCTGTAACACAGCATAGTAGACTCACATAATAAAATTCAGCTCAAAAGGTGAAGGCATTTAGAAAAAAAATTTGTATATTACTGTTATTTTTACGAAATTTAAAGTTAAAAGCCTATAATTTCTGAAAAAATCAGCAAAATGGAACTAAACGTAAACTTTATCTTTATAGGCGTTTAGAAAGAAAGTCTGTATAACTGTTCCTTGCGGAATGACGGACAAGGGTGAAACTATATGGCCCCGACCACTTTGTGGCGGGGCCATAAAAATAGTAATAAAAGAACAGAGTTCAAATGTCCCCCGCGTTGCACATATTTTATATTTCCAAGGGCATAACTCTTTTTAAAAAAGTTGATCGGCCACCATTATAGAACTTGTCCAAGATATTATTGATATTATACTATATAGTATAAGTTTTATAAAAATCTGGCAAGAATTGTACATGTGAGTGCGCTAACGAGGCCATTTTCCATAAATTTAATATTTCGAAGGAGCATAACTCTTTTAAAAGAAGTCGATCGGCCACCATTATACAACTTGGCCAAGATATTGCTGATATTAACCTATAGTATAAGTTTTATAAAAATCTGGCAAGTATTGTACCTGTGAGAGCGCTATCAATACTGGACAGACGGAAAGACAGACAGACGGACGCCCGGTATTTCCATGTCCCCTGCAACGCGTTACACGGGGGACAATAAGTCTTTAAAGAGCCAGTCTGCCAGAAAACAATGCAAAATCAAAAATTTTGTCCAAATGGCAAGTCAGAACTTTTGAAATCTTTTTGTATTTTTGAAATTTCAGGTATAAAGGAAAACGTAAAATACATCTTAGGCTTTGGTGAATCATGTTTATTTCTAGCAACAGCCTCATTTGCATAATGCCCCAAAAATCACTAAAATGTTATTGAAAAATGTGTCTATAGTTTGAACACAGTAAATTCTGATTTTTACCATTTTAGCCCCCATTTAAACTTATATGTTACAAATAACCTTCATAGACAAAAACAAGAGTGCACACGCTGAAATGTCAGGCCTGCTTTACTGACCATTAATTTTATGTTGATAGTCCTAAATATAAAGTTTTACTACACATGCTACAAGTACCACATAAACTTAACATGATCAGAGAAAATGAGGTCAATACAATACAGTTAATCTACCTTAACTCCTCTCAAAGTACTGAATGGATTTAAACCAAACTTATGTTATGTTTTGTGGGGGTAGTGAAATTTTACACCATACATTTGTTTATCTATTGAGGGTTCATGAGGGAAACTTTGGACCAAAACCAAAATTCCTTCAAAACTAATTTACTGTATTTACACTGCATGAGTACTATGATTATTTGCCAAAATTGGATTTTTTTATATATTGTAGATACATAATCATAGTTTAAGAAAAACAAATGGCAATCAAATACTTTCCCCACATTAGCAAATACAAACTTTTAAAAATTACAAATTTCACCATTTTGGCAGTTTTGTAAAACTTAGGATATTTGGACAAGAACAAGCAGATAAATTAATTGATTGGTGTTTTACTGTTTTACACCATTTTCAGCACTATTGTGCTATTTCATGGCGGTCAGTTTTTATTGGTGGAGGCAGACACAGTGCCAGAAGAGAACCGTCGACCTTCAGTAGAAAAACTGACATAGTCAAGATTGGAGTCAAGTGCACCTGCGACATAAGGGATTCGAACTCTTTAGCAAATACC